TGATGGATTCAAATGCAAAATCGTACACGAAGGACAGCTAACAGACTCTTTCGAGGTGAAGACCGGTGTCAGGAAAGGTTGCTTACTCTCAACCGTTCTCTTTCTCCTGGTCATCGACTGGATTATGAAGACGTCGACATCTGGAGGGAAGCACGGTATCAACTGGACAGTTAGGACGCAGCTGGACGATCTGGACTTCGCAGATGACTTGGCTCTTCTATCGCACACGCAACAACAAATGCAAGAGAAGACGACCAGTGTAGCAGCAGCCTCTGCAGCAGTAGGTCTCAACATACATAAAAGGAAAAAGCGAAATTCTCTGATGCAACACAACATGCACCAACCAAATCACACTTGATGGCGGTGATGCCTTGGAGGACGTTAACACCTTTACATATCTTGGCAGCAACATCGACAATCAAGGTGGATACGATGCAGATGTGAGGGCGCGGATTGGCAAAGCGAGGGCTGAATTTCAACCAAAACCGAAATCAGGATTTTCAATACAAATGTCAAGACAGTTCTAATGTATGGAGCGGAAACTTGGAGAACTACCAAAGCCATCATCCAGAAGATACAAGTGTTTATTAACAGCTGTCTACGCAATATACTTCGGATTCGTTGGCCAGACACCATCAGCAACAACGAACTGTGGGAGAGAACAAACCAGATTCGAGTGGAGGAGGAAATCAGGAAGAAGCGGTGGAAGTGGATAGGACACACACTACGGAAAGCACCTAGCTGCGTCACGAGACAAGCCCTCACATGTAACCCTCAAGGCAAAAGGAAAAGAGGAGGGCCAAAGAATACATTACGCCGAGAAATAGAGAAAGATATGAGAGGAATGAACAAACATTGGACAGAACTGGAGAGAGAAGTCCAGGTCAGAGTTGGTTGGGGGCGGTGTATGCTCGATTGGGGGTAACAGGTGCAAGTAAGTAAGTAAGTAAGTATAGTTTCCCCAATATTGAATAGGCAACTGACCAGCATTTTCTAACCTATTCTATCTTTGACCTTCCTTCCTAGTTCTGTTCAATTTTCTTTCATTCTTTTCATGTCTCTCTCTGTTTCTCGGCGCAATATTTTCCTTGACCTGCGTCTTTTCCTTTGACCCTAAGGTATTGTCTTGTGACGCGGTTTGGTGCTTTACTCAATGTGTGTCCCATCCACTGCCAGTGCTTCCTCCTAATTTCATCCTCAGACAAAAGCTGGTTTGTTCCCTCAAGTAGTAGGTTGTTGGTGATGGTGTCTGGCAAACGGGTCCGAAGTATTTTTGGAGACAACAGTTAAAAAGCTTGTCTTGTGGATGATACTTGCGTACTTTTCTCCCCATACTACAGAACTACCATGATAATTGTTTTAAAAATTTTGACTGCAGTGTTTGCTGACAAGCAGTTGTCTTGAGTTGCAGATGTTCTTCAACTGAAGAAATGCAGTCCTTACTTTACCGGTCCGCATATTCACAACTGCATCAGATCCATCGTCCTCATCAATGATGCTACCCAAATATGTCAAGGTTTTTACATCTTCAAATGCTTCACCGTCAAGTGTGATTTGGTTTGCGCATGTTGTGTTGTATTAGTGAGTCTTTCTTCTGTTTTTGTGTGTTTAGAGCTACTGCTGCCACACTGGTCGTCTTCTATAGAATTTGTTGTTGAGTGTGCAATAGAAGAGCAAGATCATCTGCGAAGTTTAGGTCGTTCAGCCGCGTTCTAGTTGTCCATTGTATTCCATGCTTCCCTCCAGACATTGGTGTCTTCATAACCCATTCGATCACCGAGGGAAAGATACAGGGCGAGAGTTAGCAATAACTTCGTAGACTGTGATCCAATTCTAGGAGTTAGGATTTTGTAGTCACAGCAGTGTCTGATTCTACAAACATATAGTTATACATATTTTCCAGGTTTGCACTCGGTATTAGGTTGGGCATTGTATGATATTAGAAACATTTACTATTATAACTAATGGAACTAGAGATTGTTTTGCTCTACTCCATGTTTATTCTTAATCTGTACACCTATTCTCCGCTCGTATCGATTCCATCTTGATTACCCTGCTCTTGGTAGTTTCTCTTATATCCTTTGGCACGATCTTGGTATTCTTTCGATATCACAAATATACGTGCATTTCTAGATCTGATTTTCTTCCTTGACTTTGTTTCACGGAGGGATCGTATCTGGTAACTGGGACATAATTGGTTTGTAGTGGTGATAATAGTCAACCTTGACTGGCAACCACTATAGTTCGATCAACTGAAATGAAAAATTTCTATACAGCGTTGGAATATCGCTTTCCACATTTATCAACAGATTTGTGGACAGTAACAGTGTTTTGCAATTTCTGTGCTGGATTCTCAAGTAATCTGTGGTCTACACTCAATTTTAGATGATAAAATAGTTTAGAGACATTTAGTTTTGGTTTTTCAAGGTTTCAGTTTCGTTAGTACCTAGCTTTCTCCCACATCCATTTTTTGGGTTTGAAGGGTACGAATGTATTCCGAACTGAGTTGAGATGTCTTAGATTTAGACTAATAGATGGAATATTTTCCCATACTTTTTTCAGAAAATGACTTTAAGTCTATCCTTGTGGCTTTTACAGATTTATTCAGTCACTCAACAAGTAAGTGAATCTGATCTTCAAACCCCAAAATTTCCAGCGATAAACAAAGATACGTTTGTGGTATCTGTGAATGAGCGACAGAAGTAACCTTTCGGTTATGACGATGCCTTACATTTATTTTGACTATTTATCCTGAAAGTATCAGTCATGGAGCCATTACACCACGGGTAGCCTATGATAATATCATCGAACCCGTTGACTGATCTCCTTTCGAAAGTAGCTAAACAGCAAAGTATATTTTATTATCTATTGAAATGTCTACTGAATATGCGATAAACCATGATTAAATTATCTCATATCATTTTTTCGATCACGAGTCAGAAATTGGATACCACCTGATTAGCTAGAAAGGAAATGTTTAGGAAGCTAATAACTTTACAGTCGTTTAACATGATCATTCTTCCAGGATGATTATATCTTTTCTTGATGAAAAATCCATCATGAAATTTGCTTTCCGAAAAATGCCGTTGAAAAATTCCATACAACATTTGTAATATTGATTCTCAATTACTTCTGACCTCAATGAAGTCTGTTTAGCAATATTTAACGTGGAAATTCTACTTGAACTTTACTATGGCTGTCTTAACAAGCCGTCATAGCTTTCTGTTCTCTATATTTAGTGTCATGATACATCCGTGACAAATGTATTGTAAGTCGTTTGATTGAGCAAGAAGACAGGACTACAACTTATGAACAAACTCAAATTTGACTTCTGAATATATATTCTATCAATGGTATAAAAAACCTCTAGGTTATTATACGGAAAATAGAGTAGACATTGTGTCGACTATTGCAATCTAAGGGTATTAAGAAACTTTGATATCCTGGCCACTAAGAAAAGATCAGCCAGGCCTGCTTTGGTTTTCACTTTTGCGAGCATGGGCTGATCAGTTGATCTTGAGATTTCGCTTCCCACCGGGAAAACCCATGGCTATGATTGGCTGCTGTGTATTTTTAGTGTGCTATTTTCTTAACCGTCTCAAGGACGTTTCTATGTTGTATAAATAAACGAGAGTTGTAAGCTTGATTGTACTGTGATTGCTGGGTGTTTGTAGAATATACTTTCCACGCTTACACAGTCTTTTTACTCGCTTTGGGGATTCAGGGTAGCCTACCTGGACGCTGGTAAAAGTCTCGTTCTTGTTTATCGACTAAGGTAAACTCGTAATAGCCTCAAACATACTTAGTGACGAACTTATCAAGTTATCGTTGACTGGCCACAATGATTAACAATTAAAGACAGATGTCAATAAAGTTTTACTTTATTCCCTGCTCTCACTAATGTTTCAAGTTTTAGGCGATTTCAAAATTTATTAACTATTTATGAACTTTCAACGACTATTAGAATTGGTAGTTTTAACTGTAAAGTTCTAAGGTCGGAAGGTTATAAATCTATTATTTGGCACGTATTTAAAATAGTTTTTCCTCGAAGTAAATTTATTTATTCAGTTATTGATACTTGGTTTCTTTTTTGCGTGCGTAGATAACGCTTATATACTGAATACGTTAAGCTATAAATGAACTGAAGTCCAGCGATTGGAGACAATTTCTACTACAGCAATGATTATTTGGGGAACACAAAACTTCAGATGAGTGACTAAGTCGCTTTTAATAAATGTGTTCAATAAATGATTCGAAGTGGCTGAAGATGTTCACTCGTCAGGATTTGAACCCAGGATCTTCTATATTGTGCGCGAACGCCTAACCACTGGACCATTGAGCCGGTATCTAACGGTGTTTATGTCTAACCTGATAAATTCACAGAGTTGCGCAACCTCATACATAGTCTTCGGTAGTTACTGTCTACACCCGAACAGGTTGAACTTCACTGGTCACGTCTTCCCACTAGAACTCGGAGAAGATTCCTCACGAAGCTAGTCACTAGTGAGCACAGGTAATTTTCATTACGGGGTTGTGAAGATTGTTAAGTTACACATTTTTGAAACCATGAATCGATCAGTGTGCAGGAGTCGTGAATGCGCACTGCTGAAGAGTCCCATACCAGGACGAAACGGCCGTCCAGTGCTTCCAGGTTTCTAATGGTCGACTAACATTGGTCGATTCATGGTTTCAAAAATGTTTAGCATTTACGTGGAAGAAGTATTGTCAACGTCAAAAACTTTAATCTACTCTACAGATTGAAAGTTGAAACATATCACGTTGAATATTTTGTTGAAAGTAAAATTACGTCTCGTATACTGTATATGTTGTGTTATAGATTAAAAATTAAGCATGATAACTTCGATAAGTCAGTATATGATAAAACTGTTAAGTTGTATAGTTTTAATCAACTATGTGTTCGACGAAAAAAACGACTTAGTTTACATTAGCTTTTAAATAAATGTATTTGAAAATAATATTTAATTTTAATGAGAAAATAACTAAATGAATAAATTTGTTAATGGTTCTTTGTCATCTAAAATAAAAATTGAATAAGAAAAGTTTTCCACAAGTATTTTGGTGATAAAAAGTTTTCTAATAAAGACTACTGAGGAAAAAACCAAAACCTACAAACCAGTAGTCATAATTGCTTTACGATGAAATATAAGAGAAATGTTTTGCTTAAAGTACTTAGTATGTAATTAATAGACTGTAGGTTTAAACTGATAGTGAAAGATATGGGAAGAATGAACAAAAATTGTACAGAATTGGAAAGGGAAGCCCAGGTTGGGGAAAACTGGTCGGCGGCCTATGCTCCATCGAGCGTAACAGGCGTAAGTTAATAAGTAAGTAAGTGCATAAGTAAGTAAGTAAGTAAGTAAGTGCATAAGTGCATAAGTGCATAAGTAAGTAAGTAAGTAAGTAAGTAATGTTCAAATTCAACGTTATTTACCTAGAGTTAGCCATGTAGAAAATGTAAATATCCTTTAAACTAAGTGTAATCAGCAAGATTGTGCCAACTTATAAGTTGTTAAATAAAAATATCATGTTTGATCAATGCTCATAAGATTGTCGATCACTCATCAAGTCTTATTTTCAATTGTCAGTATCAGGATTTCTTAATTAGGATCCATGAAATATGCTTTTCTTATTTTCTATCTGAACTGTTTATATAATTATGCTGGTGATAAGTGGATATCCTAATTAATTCAGTTTTAATTTCCCGATAAAAATTATAACGTTCACTTCGAAAATATATAATTACTAGCTACCTATTTATAGTGGAACAATTCAAATACTGCTTTAAATGATTTTTTCTGGGAAGCGATTTATTTTAGTGAGATTGTTTTCTATGAGATACAGCGGGAAACTCTATTCCGAACTCTCCTTCTTTATCCCAACAGGAGGTTGGCAGTAAACCTTGAAGAACTCTGGGAGTAATGCAAAATGATACTTTATAAAAGTGTTTTTTATGCTGAAGGGCTTGTGAAGTAATAGAAGAAATATCAGTTGTAATTTACTCAGCACTTATTTCAAACACTGCTTTCTCATAATCTATGTCACATAATAGTAAGAATAATAAATGTTGTCTAAACACATCTTACTGTTAACAATACATCAGTATAAAAAAAGTGTGAGAACTTACTAGTCACATGACTATTACTTCCTATAGTTTGAAATTGTCGAAAGTTTAAAGTTTGACAAAGACAAGCATAAAATTAATTTCAAATCAAGTACAACTTCAAATCAATCTGAATGAATAGTTAAAGGTTAAATATTTCCTAGAATATGGAGTTTTAAGTTTCCAATGTTCAATGGCTGACAACAGTGAGCAGGAAGCCATGTTTAACTTTGTATAAGTTAATTTTGCAGTATAAGTTTGCAGTGGTTAGTAAGGCATATTTACAATCCCTATTTCAAACTCCCAACTCTGTGGACTGAAGAGCCATGATCTTAGCACATCCTTAGATTTTTACAGATTGTATTTTCTAGTTGTTATTCTCGTCTTCCCTTCCTTTACTAAGTTATCTTTAGTTATCTGTAGTTTTTATTCTATAGAATATCACCTCTTATTGCTTCTAAAACTATTGCACATCATACATAAGCTCTTGATAGTTTTCGGTATAATCATAATCTTGAGGATATATTATGCAATGCCATTTGATTTTTGATTCAGTAGGCTTATTCAGCTCCAATTTCGAACTTCGTATGTACGTACATCAGTTCAAGTTGCCGTACCACATTAGCACAGAGAAATGGGGTAGTCAGTTGGAATCTCATAGTTGTAGAGGTAGTGGCGATATTAGTGACTGAAGATATGATTCGAGAAATATTTTTGCGGTAATTAGAACTTTGGCATTTGTTGAAGGCATATAAGTTTGCAAATCTCTCACCGTCTTCGTTCCTTTCTCCTAGTCCATGTCGTCCTATGATGTCTTCATTTCCAGTGTTGTCCATTCCAACCTTGGCATTCAGGTCTCCCATAAGAATCGTCAAATCCTTTGGTGAACATTTATCGACGATTGACTGCAGCCTTTCGTAGAATTGATCTTTAACGTCGTCATTGTAGTCATTGGTAGGTGCATAACATTGGATGACGTTCATTGTAATGTCCTGTTTCTTTGTTTTGAAGGATGCTTTAATGATCCTGGGTCCATGAGATTCCCATCCTATCAGTGCCTTTTGTGCATGTTTGGACAGCATCAGTGCAACTCCTTGTGTATGTGAAGCGTTTTCCTCTTAATGACCAGAGTATAACAGCAGTTCCCCTGAAGCTAGTCTCAGTTGTCCTACTTGTGTCCAATGTGTTTCACTGATTCCAAGCACCTCGAGGTTGTATCTTTTCATTTCTGCAGCAACTTGAAATAGTCTTCCAGTCTCCCACAATGTACGAACGTTCCATGTACCTAAAAAGATGGTTGCTCTGGTTGTGAGAAGAGGCATCGGCCCCGTGACTTTCGAGGGAACTCGGCTTTAACCACGCGACGTCATAATTCTTCCTCCAACTTCCAGGGCAGTGTTAAAATTGTTTGAATTATTTTTTCTGGTTAGCGTTCTTTTGGCAAGTTAGTTTTTGACGGAATGGGGTCGCCAACCCCATGTCCAACCCTCCTCCTTTATCCGTGCTTGTGACCGGCATCAGTCCCGAAGGTTCTACTGGCGGAGTTATTCGAGAAGTGTAATACAGTGAAATAAATTTACAGGAAGCAAAACAAGGCCATGAAGAATTCAGAAGATTAGAATTAAAAAAAAGACAAAAAATGGATGCTTTAACGTCATAGCAAATTATTTTGAGCCATGTCATTAACAAGTCTTCAACCACAAATTACCATTGTCTTGAGGACTTCAACTAGGTGATCTACACCCACTTACATAACTGAGTCCAGTTGTCGATGACTTTATGGATTTGTGCCACGTTTTAGTAAGCCTGCATCTTTATTTCATCCAGCCTATCCCTACATCAGACAACATAGCTCGACAAGGTAGCCAGTGGTTAGGCATACATAACACATACTTTGCTACATGATTCAACCTCTTTTTATTCAGTATTTGAAAACTCTGGTTATATTGAAATAAAACCTTTTCATTGATCAATCATTATATTCAATATTTGAAATCTGTTGATAATCTTGATCATTTTATGCAATGCCGCTTCATTTTTATTGTCTTCCACTTGAATCTATTTGATAATCTTCGATAAATTTACAAAACTCCTCTATTTTATTGCAGACTACCACATAAAAACTCGCCTGTACAGTTCAAGATAATGATAACATGGTTGAAACATATTCGTTCCTTTTATGGAAATCAATAGTTCTTGTAGGATTTTAACCCTAGACACCTAACTTTATAGTTTTAAATGTCTGTAACACTATCTTTGAACTAATCAAACCGATGAAAAATTTCTCAAACTGACAGTTTGCAGTGTAACTTGATTAACAGAATTTCAATGGATCACTATTATTTATCTTTACAATTATAGGGTGACTTCATAAAGAGTGTTAGTAGGAATTCTGATACATATTATCGATTTTCTGCTGTTTCCAAAATCAGTCTACCTACTAATTATATTTAGAAGAATACTTTAGTTAGTTGAATGTTGAACGTCTTGAATTATACTTGTTTGTTTGTTTGATTGATTGATTAAACTTACCTGAGAATTTGACACAGATTTGAGTATGGAACTGTTAGAATATTCATACAATATCCTAGGAGAATTATTTGTAAGCCTAGTTCTATTGGTAAATTCTTATTCGTTAATTCTTACTGGTCAATATTATGGTCTTCCTACATGTCAATGTCACGGACTTCAATGTTGGTTCCTATTCGACCTAACTGTATGAATAAGCAATATCTGTAACGTTCTATGACGCGGACCCGGATCCCTAGTCCGGGATCCTGGTTCTCTTCTGGACTTGGACCTCATACTTTCTGGATGTTTGTAGAATACAGGTTCTACTTCACGTCAAGTCTTCTTCCTTTTACTCAATATGCTGATTGGGACACTTGGATTAGAGTAGCATGTCGTGTCACCGGATGCTCGATCCTCGCCCTCATTTTCCGACTAAAGTGAAATCGTAACAATTCCATCACATAAAAATGACATGTTTACGTGCAATGCATAACAATTTCATATCGTTTCTCTTAGTTATATAAGGGATTTATTCATAAACTAATTGCTTAGTTAATAATATAAAGGTTCTTACTTTTTATGATCCGAATCCGATCTAAATTACATTTTAAACGACACATACATTAATTAATATGTGAAGGTTTGAAAAATGATGAATGAGATTACACAGCACAAACGGCTTATCTATAAACGTGGATATGCGTTTTGTTATCAGCTTAAGTGATTTCTTACTTCCTTATTTATGCCTGTTACCTTTCGTCAGGTTTCGGCTCCCAAACAACATTCTCCAACCTACTCGGTCCTGTGTTTTTTTTTCATTTCTACCCAATCTTTATTCTATCTTTTCATATCGATTCCGATTTCTCAGACCAATGTGTTCCTTCGTCTACCCCCTTACATTTTGCCTTGAGGTTTCCAAGTGAGGCATTTCGGTGATAACCACATTATGTGTCCTATTCTTTTTCTAGCGCTTTTCCCTAATTCCTTCAGCAGCTGGAATCTACTTTGTTCTCTTTCACAATAGCTTGTAGCTAATTATGTCTGACCAATGTATCTGTAGTATCTTGCTTCGAAGACACCTATATCTCTTTAGAACTGTCTTGACTTTCTAAACGTCACTCTAGTGTCCTGCTGCATCCGAGCTGTCCATTGTATTCTGCACTTTTTGTGAAATGTTGACATCTTAATAATCTAATCAATGACCAAAAGAAAGAAGGGGTGGGAATAAACACTGATTTTCACTTGGTATCAATCTATGAGCTACTTTCATGCAAGATTTAAAAGTGTTGTTCATTATAAGCATTCCGTACGATATTGACTATCTGTTTAGACATACTAACACTTATTTATTTCATAATGAACTTGAGAAAGATCAGCTTTCATGAGTGCTTACATTCATCAAATCAGAATGAGTTCAGTTAAACATGCAGAATACTTTATTCATCTTAAATTAATTTGTTCCGTATTAGACTTTTATTTAATTTTGTTGTAGTACTCTTAACTAACTAAAGATATAACAGATAAATTTTCGGTAGATTACTACGTCTGCAATTGCTGACATCCATTTTATTTGAAAGATCTTTAATCATAAAACCGTGCAATAACTAATGCAATCTCAAGGTTAGTAATTGAAGTAAAACCTAAAAAAACGTATTCAAAATGAAGAGTAAGCATTTTAACCCTTAAAATATTTGAGCATATTTTAATTTATTTCAACTAAATGATAAACTTACGATGAAGAAGACCTTAAAAAGATGCATGTAAGAAATATTATGGCAACACATCGCATTCAAAGATTGAAAAGTTAACCAATTTTTTTATGCTAACACGTTACAGTGTGTACAAATTTATATGTAGCACTTGTTCAACTAGTTGCATAAGCAAAGTAGAAAGAAAGACCAATATCCGATTCCAAGAACATATTCTAAAAATATTTGAGGTCAGACGAATTAGACGCCTTCAATAGTGGCTTGTCAAGACGTCTCTTTGATACAGATTATCAGCTTGACACTGATTGATCTAGAAATCGTTGTTAGACCACCGTTAGAAACATGGACGCACTGGACGGCTGTTTTGTCTTGGTATGGGACCAAAGGAGTTCAACCCTGGCGAGTGTAGGCAGTAACTATCGAAGACAAATAGGTGAAGTTACCCGAAATCCTTAGACCGATCAGAGTTAGACATTGATATCATTGGATACTGGCCCAGTGGTTCAGAGATTAAGCGTTTGCGCACAAGACCGATTAGAACTTGTGGGTAGCAGGAGTAGTGGATGCGCACTGCTGATGAGTCCAACACCTGAATGGAACGGTAGTCCAGTGCTTCCAGGTTTATAATGGTGGTCTAATAATGATTGATTCATGACTTTTATGTGGAAAAACAATGATCTCCATAAATCTAATCTGAAAAACTTATAGATCTTTTAAGATTAAGATGATCGAACCCTAGTCTTCTAAACGTTTCTGGGCCCAAATGGGAATTTAATGCCTCAAACCCTGCAAGTAAGTAAGTAAGTAAGTAAGTAAGTAAGTAAGTAAGTAAGTAAGTAAGTAAGTAAGTAAGTAAGTAAGTAAGTAAGTAAGTAAGTAAGTAAGTAAGTAAGTAAGTAAGTAAGTAAGTAAGTAAGTAAGTAAGTAAGTAAGTAAGTAAGTAAGTAAGTAAGTAAGTAAGTAAGTAAGTAAGTAAGTAAGTAAGTAAGTAAGTAAGTAAGTAAGTAAGTAAGTAAGTAAGTAAGTAAGTAAGTAAGTAAGTAAGTAAGTAAGTAAGTAAGTAAGTAAGTAAGTAAGTAAGTAAGTAAGTAAGTAAGTAAGTAAGTAAGTAAGTAAGTAAGTAAGTAAGTAAGTAAGTAAGTAAGTAAGTAAGTAAGTAAGTAAGTAAGTAAGTAAGTAAGTAAGTAAGTAAGTAAGTAAGTAAGTAAGTAAGTAAGTAAGTAAGTAAGTAAGTAAGTAAGTAAGTAAGTAAGTAAGTAAGTAAGTAAGTAAGTAAGTAAGTAAGTAAGTAAGTAAGTAAGTAAGTAAGTAAGTAAGTAAGTAAGTAAGTAAGTAAGTAAGTAAGTAAGTAAGTAAGTAAGTAAGTAAGTAAGTAAGTAAGTAAGTAAGTAAGTAAGTAAGTAAGTAAGTAAGTAAGTAAGTAAGTAAGTAAGTAAGTAAGTAAGTAAGTAAGTAAGTAAGTAAGTAAGTAAGTAAGTAAGTAAGTAAGTAAGTAAGTAAGTAAGTAAGTAAGTAAGTAAGTAAGTAAGTAAGTAAGTAAGTAAGTAAGTAAGTAAGTAAGTAAGTAAGTAAGTAAGTAAGTAAGTAAGTAAGTAAGTAAGTAAGTAAGTAAGTAAGTAAGTAAGTAAGTAAGTAAGTAAGTAAGTAAGTAAGTAAGTAAGTAAGTAAGTAAGTAAGTAAGTAAGTAAGTAAGTAAGTAAGTAAGTAAGTAAGTAAGTAAGTAAGTAAGTAAGTAAGTAAGTAAGTAAGTAAGTAAGTAAGTAAGTAAGTAAGTAAGTAAGTAAGTAAGTAAGTAAGTAAGTAAGTAAGTAAGTAAGTAAGTAAGTAAGTAAGTAAGTAAGTAAGTAAGTAAGTAAGTAAGTAAGTAAGTAAGTAAGTAAGTAAGTAAGTAAGTAAGTAAGTAAGTAAGTAAGTAAGTAAGTAAGTAAGTAAGTAAGTAAGTAAGTAAGTAAGTAAGTAAGTAAGTAAGTAAGTAAGTAAGTAAGTAAGTAAGTAAGTAAGTAAGTAAGTAAGTAAGTAAGTAAGTAAGTAAGTAAGTAAGTAAGTAAGTAAGTAAGTAAGTAAGTAAGTAAGTAAGTAAGTAAGTAAGTAAGTAAGTAAGTAAGTAAGTAAGTAAGTAAGTAAGTAAGTAAGTAAGTAAGTAAGTAAGTAAGTAAGTAAGTAAGTAAGTAAGTAAGTAAGTAAGTAAGTAAGTAAGTAAGTAAGTAAGTAAGTAAGTAAGTAAGTAAGTAAGTAAGTAAGTAAGTAAGTAAGTAAGTAAGTAAGTAAGTAAGTAAGTAAGTAAGTAAGTAAGTAAGTAAGTAAGTAAGTAAGTAAGTAAGTAAGTAAGTAAGTAAGTAAGTAAGTAAGTACTGAGCAGTAATATAGTGTGAATATATAAAGCGATATCTTAACATGTGATCCAGTTTGTTTTCTACACGTCAATCAAAAGTTAATAATACATTTTGTTTTTAAGACAAGATTTGACACTTTTATGATGTACACACGTCTAAACGAAGTTTTCGAACTATTCATTTAGTTTATCGAATAAAATCTTGAGAAAATATTTGAAGTTGTCTAGAAATAAAGTTTTGAATTTTAGATCTTTAAAAAAACTATTCATGAAATACACTAATAATTCGCTAGACACTTAAAGTGCCATCACCCCTGTGCATAAAAACAAAATCTTGTGAATATATGATAGTTAGATCCGAAAAAAACAACTGACAAGTTATACTTTGGTGTCAGGTTAATAATACTTTAAGATAAGTCTACACTACTGCTAACCACATGTTACATAATCTACCTAGGTATTCACTGAATAACATGAATCCCGATTATAGACATGACATAAATCGAAGTATCGTTTTCGCCTTTACTCACATGAGTAAATTAAGTTGTTTTTTTCAAGAGACTGATTGTATCATTTCATATTTCATGAAAACTTATTTTTTCTAACTGCAAAATAAACTCATATGATTTAAGCGTTGTGAAATGAAATTTCAATTCTACGTGTCATTTTTTTGAAAAAAATTAATTTAAAAAAATCATTCTGACAGAAAACTATGCAATCATAAAAATCTCATGTTCAGATCTCACTAATATGTATATTTTTCTTACATATACAAGTACTCAATCATAACAGTTCCATGCTTAGATAAAACACTAGTTTTCACTGAAATCATGAATTTGTCGTTGTTAGGCCAACATTAGGAACCTGGAAGCACTGAAAGACTGCCATTTCATCCTAGTATAGGATTCATCAATAGTGCACATCCATAATCGAACCCAGGATTTTCAGTCTCGCGAGTGAATGCCTAACCTCTAGACCCCTGAGTCGACTTCCAACGGTGTCCATGTCTAACTTTAATCATTCCAAGGTTTTGCACAACCTCACTCATTGTCTGTAGTGCATAACTGCCTACACCCAACAGGGTTGAACTCCACTGGTCACAGCTTCTCACTAGAACACCAAGAATTTCCTCATGATGTTACTCACTAGTAAGCATATTACTTATTATTAAACTAATATATTCTTTTTAATGATATCTTGCTATCTAAGGGATTTATATATACATGTATCTTGAGATGGTGGAGAAAACATGTAGCTCAGGTGGATGATTGTGGTGGTGTTTCGTTCTCTGAGCTGGTTGTTTGGGTTGTGGAGCTTTCCTTGTTTTTCCGAACAACTTCATCAGCACAGAGACGCAACTGACAGTTTAAATCACATACTTGGTAGCGACAGTAGAAGTAGAAAAAGCAGAAATGGAGAAGATTAGGGTTTGAAGATATGATTTGAGAAATATAATTCAGTAAGATAATTTTAGAAAGCTAAACATAGAGATGATGAAGAATTCAGAAGATTAGAATTTGAGAGAACACAACCAATCAATGCACATACGCTTTTGCAAACGATTTTGAGCCATGTCATTCAAGGTCTCTAACCGTTGGTGGCTTTCGTCTCGTGGACACTAACCAGGTAGTCTACATCTACCAACATGACTCAGTCCACTTTTCAGTGACTTCATGGATTTGTGCCATGTTTTGTTTTGGCCGCCTCTAGCTTTCTTCCAATCTACTCCTACACCACAAAACATAGCTAGTCGCGGCAGTCGGTGGTTAGGCATAAGTCAATATCTGATTCTTTATGAAAACACTGTGAATACAGTAATCCTCCCCTTCGGTCCAAAAACTTCAAAGCCTATTGAATAGACCTTAGTGGCAACTTCTTACAAAATTAGATGTAATTATAGAACAGTTAAAATTAATTAAGTCTTATAATTAATTGTCAATGATAAATCTAATTAAAATGAAGTAATATTTTCAAATTTAAACCAATCATTAAACATTGACTTACGACGAGCCAGAACTAAAGAAATAAAGTTTTAGAAAAATTATTTCAAAATATATAGAGAGAGCAAAATATCAATTTTGAAGGTTCAGACAAAGATACACTAGTCAGTTAACAGCAATATCGATCAAACTATTCGGCAGACAAAAATTTTGACTCTCATGTATTCTACATAAAAACAAAATTTGGTTTCTCTGATAGAAGGACAGAAGTAATTTGGGTTTAATATATGAAAATTACTACGCATGTAGATACTTAGCCACCTGAAGCGCTGTATTACTCGAAATACGTGACCTCAGAAACGTTATATATATATATATATATATGTTTAAACTTAACGTTTGAAAAGCATTTCGTCCTAGTATGGGACTCATCAGAATTTGCCATTCACGAATCCACTAAATCTATGACTTCCATGAAACTCAACAATCTCCACAACCTTATAATGAAATTTCTCTTGTGCTCACTAATGACTAACTTCGCGAAGAGATCCTTGGAGTTCCAGTGAGAAGCCATAACCAGTGGAGTTCAACCCTGTTTGATGTGAGGCAGTAATGAGGTTGTACATTATCGGGGATTGATTAAGTTTCGACATTATTGTCGTTAGATGCCAGCTCAGAGGTCTAGAGGTTAAGAGTACGTACGCAAAACCAAAGATCCTTAGTTCCATTCCAGCCTGCGGGTACAGTGGATGTGCACTGTTGATGAGTCTCAAACTAACTTGAAACGGCTATCTAGTGTTTGTAGGTTTCGAATGGTATAGTGTAAGAGAACACAGGTGGAGCAACCGAATTGTATTTAACAAAAATTACAGAGTTACTCATTAAAATAGCAAAACCATATCGTAAATCGTTCATTTGCAAAATAACAGTTCATCATATCGAACTGGACTGTTCCTGTCGCAAAACATCAATCCATTGTCTGACATTTCACTGTTCATGCGTTTCATACAAATTCCATTGTTTTCTGACTCTTCCTTTCTTGATCTTCCCCCATCTTCTGCTGCCAGACATTACGTTGACACTCACGTCATATACTACTTATAAGTAGCTCGCACCACTGCACCACAATGGTAGTCTAACAATGATCGATTCATAACTTAAATGTAAGTTTGAAAAATCTATTTTCAGTTGTTTATTTCGCATAATGATCAACAAGAATTCTCGAATAAATGTCTATTGAATATTATTTCGTTTCATGTATAATTCATTGAAGAATATGTTAAAGCTTACCCATGTTTTGAACCCGATTTGTGACTTGTTAAAATAAAAACACATCAGGAATTAAATCAAACTAAGTAGTAGATAATAAACTGAAGAAATATATACGATTAAATTATGTCTTCTTATTGCTTGAATAATAAATTGTTGAACTATTTTTAGTGTATACAGAAGCTTTTACACTTTCTCCATAACACAGGAAAATCACTAAACTATAAATCTTTCAACAAACAAACAACGAACTGTTCTAGTAATGATAATAGTTTCTTGTGAATTTTTTTACTACCGACAGAAAAGGTAGTTTGGGTACGTTAGATCCCCAGAGCTCACTTGATAATGGTCTTAATTTTGGATTTTATTCATGGGCTGAGATTACATTTCCCACTCTGAAAATCCTTGACTGTGATTGGTTGATGTGTTATTTTAGTACTCTATTTTATGACTCTCCTAAGGACGTTTCTATGATGTATATGTTTGAGATCATTATATTTTCTGGGTGCTTGTAGAATGCACTTTCTAGGCCATATAAAGTCATTTTCTTCAGTTAGTTGAGGTGGAGAATAAGAGTAACTAATCGTGTCACTGGTTCACTGTCTCGTTCTCATTTTAACCGACTATGGTGAATTCGTAATCGTTTCAAGCATATCAATCTGACGAACATAACAAGATAGGATTCAGAATATTGTTTAATCGAAATGCATTCACATCCTAAAAGTATCTAATGCTGGTTGGATATTGTTAGAGAAAATTCTTAATCTTTAATTTGCATGACATAATGAATTTAGTCAGACAATCATTGAAAATTAAGGATGATTTGACAATTATTTTTTTCCCCGTATCATAGTGTAGTGAAGGAGAACACAGGTGAGGGCAACCGGATTGTATTTGACGAAAATTACAGAGGTACTCAGTAAAATTGGAAAACCATATCGTAAACGGTTAATTTGCAATTCTTCAATCCATCATCAATCCATTGTCTGACATTTCACTATTCATGCGTTTCATACAAATCCCATTGTACTCCCACTCTTCCTTTCTTGATCTTCACTCATTTTCTGCTACCAGACATTACGTTTACACTCACGTCATATACTACTTATAAGTAGCGCGCACCACAATAGGACTTCTTGGATGTACATACATTTTTACAAGTTTATCAGGGGAAGAACTTGATATTTTATTGGTTTTTTTATTTTTAATAAATTTACTCTAAAATGTAATTCAGTATGAAACTGAACAATCATCTCACACACACCAATTGTTTTCTGTGTTATTTTAGTTCGCTTGATGGTCTTACATTTTATGTGATATAGTGAGCAAAATAGAAATTGCCGAACACGAAGGTTATTCAATGACCTTCAGACAAATACAAATCATTGGTCAAAAATGTGGCTTCCTTTTTTTCTGGAGGTGAAATATATATATATATATATATATATATTTGAGAGTAGTTATACATATTATTCGGTAGCAAAATAGCCTTTTTCTTTGTCCCCTGCCTTTTTCCTCAAGTAACCAGTTTGGGGGATTGGGACACGTATAGCCTGCAGCTCTAGGGACTCGCAAATTATAACAGTCCGGTTAAAGGCCTGCCTGACCTAATTACTAAACATTTATATTTTATTCATATAACAAATAAATTTAAGGCTGTAATAATCTTGAAATAAATTAATATTTGTCTTTTTATAAAATAATAAGTTTGATGTTCCTTGAATATTAGGCTCCTCAGATAACAACTAATGAAAATACCCTGTCTTTGAAAGTTAGGGATTTGTAAAACAAACTATATTAGCTATCATTCTGTAGAATAGTTACAATAACCAATAAGTTGTGTAAATGTTTATGCAGTTTTCATGAAAGAAATGAGCATTTTTTTTTAAAATCCATAATAAATATTTACATTTTTATAGTTTTAATAGATATTTTCGCTAATGTTCATTTCAAATCTTGATGAGTATTCCACTTCATGGTTAAGTAAAATTGGACATTATCGTATTTTTGAGTTAAAAATGTAGACATTTATGAGAATGATTAGCGCTATAAGACCACCACTACAAACCTGGAAGTACTGGATAGTCGAATTGTCCCGAGTATGGGACTCAACCACATGAGGAAAAATGGCGGAGCTTTTTTCGAAGCTCAGCTCTGCCGGGTATAAGCATTAACTACCGAAGACAATGGGTGAAATTGTACAATACCTTGAATTGATTAGAGTCAGACACTGACACCGTCGGATGCCGATTCAGAGGTCTAGAGCTTGAGCGTTCGCGAGCAAGACCGGTCTCAAGTCCGATTCCTGAGAGCGCCAGTCGTGATTGTGCTTTACTGACGAGTCTAATACTCGGATGAAACAGCTCTCTAGTACTCTCAGGTTTCTAATGGTGATCTGACAACTACTGACTCATAATTTTAATGGTACTGTTAACCTGTTTTACTTTAACTCTACGTGATGCTATTATAGTATTACTTACTGCTCATCTCAAGTCCGCGTAAGGGAGAACGGCTAGTTAAATGATTTTATGACTCCGTCGCATAATAAAAGACCTTGCTAATGCGCTTATCAAAAATCACTTTTCTATTTTTAGAAATTACTAGGTTTTTGAGAAAAGAGTTCTCAAATATTATAGTTATGAAACGACTTCTTCAGGAACAAATGAACATTAAACGCTCTGTATCATTTAAGTTTTAGTTTTGAATAAAGAACGTATTTTGAATGCTCAACGTATCGAAAACACTGTCAAAATTATTACACTTGACATTCATTGACTGTACTATGTATGAATTAAGAGACTTCATATTTGTCAATGTAAGTATATTATCAAATATGAAACTTACTGACTATGATGACCGTCTTTTTTTCTTGAAAAATAAAAATTCACGTACAAAATTCAATGATTTTTGAAAAATTTCATTTGAAAAATTTGTAGTAAACAAGATCACAGGTGGAGCAACCGGAGTGATTTAACGAAAATTACAGAGTTACTCAGTAAAATTGGAAAACCATATCGTAAATTGTTCATTTGCAAAATATCAGTTCATCATATCGAACTGGACTGTTCCTGTTGCAAAACATCAATCCATTGTCATTATTCATGTGTTTCATACAAATTCCATTGCTTTCTAACTCTTCCTTTCTTGATCTCTCCCCATGTTCTGCTGCCAGACACTACGTTGACACTCACGTCATACACTACTACTTATAAGTAGCTCGCACCACAAATTATTTTTAATGAATAATATCCACAAAAATTCAAATGTCTTACTTATCCTTATGCGAACTAGAAATAAGAAAAAAAATGGATTATTTTTTTTAAAAAATTAATGACAATATTTTGTTTAAAGTGAGTGATTTGTCAATGATGAATAAAGTTGAACTTGTTTGAAAATTCCCGATACATGTTACATTTGCAAAATCAGACTATTTGTTTGAAATGTTGTGTGCAATTCAATATAATAAATTTAAGATATTCAAATTATTTTCTGATCTATTTATCATTTTGCTAAGAGTTGTTTGAAAATGTTGTTGTAAATTAAGATACGTCATGATTTAAATAAGATTTCTGATTTTATTACTCTATTCATTAGACAAAGTTACAGTATGCTTATGATAGTGGTTTTGTTTGAAGCTCAATACTTGCTTTGACAAACTTCGTGGTTGCCAATATTTGCTTATTCACTATATGGGTAACTTGTTTCATACTTACTTACTTACGCCTGTTAATCCCAATCGAGCATACGCCGCCCACCAGTTTTCTCCAACCAACTCTGTCCTGGGCTTCTCTCTCCAGTTCTGTCCAATGTTTGTTCATTCTTCTCATATCTTTCTCTATTTCTCGGCGTAGTGTGTTCCTTGGACTTCCTCTTTTCCTTTTACCTTGAGGGTTCCATGTGAGGGCTTGTCTCGTGACGAAGTTAGGTGCTTTTCGTAGTGTGTGTCCTATCCACTTCCACCACTTCTTCCTGATTTCCTCATCCGCTGGAATCTGATTTGTTTTCTCCCACAGTACGTTGTTGCTGATGGTGTCTGGCCAACGGATCTGAAGTATTCTGCGAAGACAACAGTTAATAAACACTTGTATCTTCTGGATGATGGCTTTCGTAGTTTTCCATGTTTCCGCTCCTACAGTAGAACTGTCTTGACATTTGTATTGAAAATGGTGATTTTGGTTTTGGTTGAAAGTTGTTTGGAGTTCCAGATATAACTTGTTTCATAAGGGTGATATATATTCACTCTCTGTTTATCGACTAACATAGTTAAGACTTATACTAATTATGTCTAACAACCCAATGCTTTGGTTACAGATGATTGCTAGCTTCGAAATAAGTTAGTAGAAATCTAGGGATAATCGAACCGAAAGAATGAAATCGGTCGATATAGTCAACGATTATTGGTTTGGAGATCACTCAATAATTGTGATCAGTAGTTAGAAACATTAGGTTATGTGAAGATGAATTTATATTATATTCCCCTCTAGATGTTGAATTCTTTCACATAAACCTTTACACTCTATCTTCTTAAACTTTACTCTTAATATCGTTATAAGAATGAGTTTGGAAATTTCCTTTTGTTATTAATGTTGATTGAATTTTGATCAGCTTTCCTTGGCTTAAGTATATCCTGTGAGAAGCACCTAACTGCGTCACGAGACAAGCCCTCACATGGAACCCTCAAGGTAAAAGGAAAAGAGGAAGTCCAAGGAACACATTATGCCGAGAAATAGAGAAAGATATGAGAGGAATGAACAAACATTGGACAGAACTGGAGAAGGAAGCCCAGGACAGAGTTGGTTGGAGAAAACTGGTGGTTGGCCCATGCTCGATTGGGGGTAACAGGCGTAAGTAAGTAAAGTAAGTTACTATATAGAAAATACAATGAAAAAAACAATTTATTCTACTTACTGGTCTTTATCTTTTTTGCTGAATACAGAAAACAAAAATATACAAAATTATTTTTGGCATTTTTAAAAATAGTGAACAGTATGTTTTTTTTTAAGTGAAAACAACAAAATAACAAAGTATTCGGTGAAATTTTATTCACGAAAAAAACATTACAGATGAAATAAAGAGTTTGGTAGAAAATGCTACAATACTCGTTGAAGTACATTTAAATCGCGGACTAATAGTGTTTAATCAGACGGATTTCGATAAATAGTATGAACTTATCTACTCGAATATATTTATAATCGGGAACTAATTCCACCGGAAGCCCCTCTCGGGTTACTGCCGATCCCAAGCTAGGATAAATGAGGAGGGTTGAACAAATACATCCGGTGGATAAGTGACTCGCTAAAAAGATGCTAACCGGAAATTGGTCACTGGCCTATGCTTCACTGGGTATAACAGGCATAGTATGTAATTAAGTTAATAAAATCGGAAATTAATAGCGTTTAGTCAGATGAATTTCGATGAAAAGTGTGAACCTAACTTCTCGGATATTTATGATCGATTTCTACTAATAATTGTAATCGGTAACACTTCATGTTTTAACATTGTTCACTATTCATGAAACTGTTAGTATTTGTACATGCTGTTTACTACTAAGCCATTCTATTTACTTTCGTAACTAGATTTGATAAAAAGTTTTGTCTTTTCTGTCCCGTTTGTCAGGAGAACAAAGTATGTCGCTGAACTTTAAGGGATGATTTGGTGGGAAGATTACTAGCCAAACTTTCTAATTATACCAGGGTATTTGAATTCTTGAAAAGCAGTTTCTGTTTTAATGATTCACTTATGATGAATGCCGTTGTCATTAACGGTGTATTTATTACTGAACCAGTTGTTAGGCCACCATAAGAAAGCCGAAAACACTGGACGGCCGTTTCGTCCAGGTATGGGGATCAGAAATCCAACCTCTGAACCATTGGACCGGTATCCAAAGGTGTTAATATCCAACTCTAGGGATTTTAAGCGACTTCACCGATTTATCTCCGATAATTACTGCCTACACCTAACAGGGTTGAACTTCACTGGTTACATCTCCTTATATTCGTACTGTTTTCGTATTCTTATTTGAGTTGTTCAATTCACAGTTTCTCAGTACCGACAAGTTAAACATTTAGACAAGTATAACAAAATCCTAATAAGAAATGTAAATTTTATCCAAGTATCTACTCTTAGTATGAACCTTCCTCACCGGAAATCAAATTTATTAAACTTAAAAAAACAGACAGTTTCATTTAAATCATTGTTAGTGATATTGTAGTGACGGAGAACACAGGTGAGGGCAACCGAATTGTATTTAACGAAAATTACAGAGTTACTCAGTAAAATCGGAAAACCATATCGTAAATCGTTCATTTGCAAATTATCATTCCATCATATCGAACTGGACTGTTCCTGTTGCAAACAACATCAATCCATTGTCACTACTATTCATGCGTTTCATACAAATTCCATTGTTTTCTAACTCTTCCTTTCTTGATCTTCCCCCCATATTATGCTGCCAGACATTACGTTGACACTCACGTCATATACTACTTATAAGTAGCTCGCACCACAATATATCCTACTTCCTACTGAAATCAATATTTAGCGGTATATCCAAAAAAGGAATGATATATAATTGAGTTTTTTCTCTAGAAAAATTTTATTGATTTTGTCATTCAATGTTTTTTATTACATATTCCAAATTCTCAAATAAAACACTAAAGTTTAAAATGTTTTTCAAATTTGTTAAGTATTGACAAAACAATAGTTAATAGAAATTTAAAAGTAAGTTTATTATATTTCCCAAGTAAACGTACTGATCTTTGGATCCTGAACTGCATTTTTATTTTCGAAAAACATTACAAAATTCGTGGTCAAGTTTCAAATCGAAAATTTACAGTAAAATATAGGATATTAATTTCGTGAGATCTTGTTCTAATTCCCTCTAGTGAGGATACAATAACATAATCTTATATTAGTCAGTGATTCAATTAGACGATTATAAGATTACACGTTTTTGAAACCATGAACCGATCAGTGTTAGACCACCATTAGAAACCTGGAAGAAGCACTGGACGGCCGTTTCGTCCTGGTATGAGACTACTCATCAGCAGAGCGCATCCACGACACCTGTACCCCGCAGGACTTGAACCCCAGACCGTCTGTACTATGCGCAAACACCCTAACCGATAGACCACTGAGGCGTTACCTAACGGTGTTAATGTCTAACTTGATCGAATTCACGGAGTTGTGCAACCTCATACACAGTCTTCTGTAGTAGTTACTGTCTACACCCGAACAGGTTGAACTTCACAGTGGTCACGTCTTCCCACCACTAGAACTCGGAGAAGATTCCTCACGAAGCTAGTCACTAGTGAGCACAGGTAATTTGCATTACGGGGTTTCAAAATGTATAACTTAACAATCTTCACAACCCCATAATGCAGATTATAAAATTATTCATGACTGATGATTTATATCGTCACCAATATACTAAACAAGTCATCAATGAACTGCAACTTTCAAAGAGTTAAGGAATATTTGGAATACAATACAAGGTGTCATTGATTTGAGCACAGAGTGGTAGTGCTGCCAATCTCTATTTAAATTGCAGGCTACGCTGGATTCAATGTAAGGCTTATCAATTAACTGGCCTATAATCTGTACTCCTAAATGAAAAAAAATCTCCTCTTCAGTTTCTATATATGATACTTAGGCGATCCTTGTTTGTGAGACGATAGTATTTAGAAGCCGAATTCAGATTCATTTTGATGAGTTTATTGTAGGCAATTGTTCATACAGACAGATAAGAGAATACAAATCGTTAAAGCAAAGTGAAGTGAATTAGCGTAGGCGAGCAACCCAAGTCTATCTGATGAAGCATATTTAAGTACTTATAGGCAGGCAATAAGTGATCAGACATGTATTAAGCGAACTAAGCATGTACACACATAGTTAAGCAGAAACAACCAAGATATGACTCAATAATTTGGACAGTAATGAAGACTAAGGATCATTGTACAACTGTTTTTTTCAACTAATCTCCAAAAATCCTTTTGATTCATACAATAATCTAGTGTTCGATGGCGATTTACTTGAAGGTGAGTTCTAGAAGTTTCATATGGGAAAGTATTACTGGTGGAGTTAAGTCAGACGAAAACTGGAATGATCATCATCAGTGATAGTGGATGATTCACGTGCAATATCAAGGATTGATTAAAATAAGAAATATATCACACTGGATACTATTTCTCTGGTACAATGATTATATACATGAATCTGAGCTTGAAAGTCCTAGGTTTAAGCGAGCTGGTTTTAAAACATAGACTGTAGAAGAGTTTCCCTAGTGTAACGACATATCATTGAAATCATGGACTGCTTAATTTTAGACCATTATTCGAAACCTGGAAACATTGAATGACTTCTTTTTCCTAGTATGAGATTCATCAGCAGTGTGTTTCCACGACTCCAGCACGCAGGAGTCGAACCCATGAGTCTAGGTCTTGCGTGCGAAGACTTAACCTTGTGATTAGTGAGTCTGCATCCAACGGTTTTACAGTGTAAATGGAATCAATCCACCATATGGTGGATTGTCTTCGGTGGATAACTGCCTCACACTCAACATAATGGAATTCTATTGACTATAGCTTTTTACTAGAACTCCTATTGTGGTGTGTGCTACTTATACGAACGATATAAGTAGTATAAGAAGGGACGTCAAAGAACAACTCTCACGGTCACTAGAGAAAAACGGTAAGCAAATGGAGCAAAAGCAAGAAGGAAATAGAGTACCGACAGGAAGTAAAGGAAGCAACAGCAGGAATGGAAGAAGGCTGAAGCGTTGGAAGTCACGACTCAAAGATGGTGTGCAAATAGAGTGTTCAATGTAATGTTTTCGTTTTTAATAGACTAAGAGTGTAAATTTGCGCGCCTGTCTCAGTCTTCTCACTATAACTGTAGCACGAAGTTAGTTGTTCATTCCTACTAGATTTTTAACATCATCTTGATTGAGTATGATAAATTTCCTGAAAACTCCTTCTTCAGTAACTACTATAAACAATCACATCTCATATAAATATTTCCTACATTATATCACATGTACATCATTCAAAAATAATATATATCAGCTTACTGATGATCGTCATCTTTTCCCCTATAATCATTGCGAAAAATCAAAATTTTATAAAATTAACAAGTGTCAACTTGTTTAATAAACATTAAACATTGAACATTGAATTAATTCTTAATGTTGATATGATGGAGAATCGATTAACTTACATTTTGTCTGTTCATATCCGATGGATTGTATGGAATTCACAAAACAAATAGAATAGTGAAATTCAAAACAGTGGTTCCCATTGATAAATTTGAACAGAGAAATGAGAAGACATATTTTGTAAGATAGTAAGTACCATTTCGTGCTTTCTCGTCAGTCACACATACAAGCAACATGTTATTTGTGTAAATACAGTTTTGAAGATTTTGAAGGTCAAAATTTCTTATTTAGCATGACATTCACTCACTAGAAAGAACCATGGTAAACAAAGGTCAACATACAGTTAGTTGTTTTTGAACACATAAAGTTGGACTTTTCCGACCAATCAAGATAGCTTCGAGTAGTTTCAGTGTGTGTGTGGGTTTTGATGACATGTCACAAGTCTATAAAGGCTGATTTTGGGTCAATTTGATGACCACTCATCATCATTAGATGTTTTGCAATGGATGAGGCTGGGTTTCTTGATCGATTTTGAGATGATGGGCTAGGTGGTGGATGAATCATGGATTTGATTAACCATCTTGGAATATGTTCTCCTATCCTGTCTTCCAATCGGCGATCTGTCCTCCCTAAGTAACTTTCTCCGCAGTTACATGTGAATTGGTAAATACAGTGAGATTTGGACTGAATCGGTCTTGGAGACTTGATTGGGGTAACTGTGACTGACGAGAAAGCACAAAATGGTACCACTATCTCACAAAATATGTCTTCTCATTTCTCTGTTCAAGAATAGTGAAATGTTTTTTTTTTACGAAATATAAACTTATTATAATGATATGAGTAATATATGCTTGTAATGAGGTGATTCGACATGAAAACAATTCTATTTTTTTCCAATCATTTGTAAATATTTAACTGATGATTCATTTCAACAATCGAATGTATTTATGATATGAACATATGTATATAAACAAATAAGAGAATATGTAAATTATGCTTAACTAATACGGTTGCTCAAAAAACCATGAATTTCTCGAAGTTAGACATGAACATTATTAGATATCGATTAAGTGGTTCAGAGGTTAGATGTTCGCGCGCAGGAACGAAGGTCCTGGGTTCGCAACCTGCGTAGTGTAGGAGTTGTGAATGTGCACTGACACTGATGAGTCTCATACTAGGAAGAAACGGTCAATCCAGGTTTTTAATGGTGGTGGTCTTATTTTTGATCGATTCATGATTTCAATGAAAACGAGATAGATTAGTTTAACATTATTCGCTCGTTCACTGATTTTTATACGTAGGTAAATGATTGTTCATCAGTAGCCTCAGATTAAATGTTCAATGCTGCATCAAAATAAATTTATTTCTCGTTTATATAGCTACACCTAACTAGGTTAAATTTAATAAGTTGACTTGGTCAAAAACGAAGTCAGTCAGTCAGATGTAACGTAGAACTTTGTACGTAAGTACATCAGTTCATGTCGCCATACCACATCAGCACACAGGTATACTTGTCAATTCAAATCCAATAGTAGAAGAGGTAGTTAAGGTATTAGAAGTAATCGGAGAAGTTAGGATTAGAACATATTATTCAAGAAGTATGATTCAGTCAGAAAAGTTTAGAAAGTCAAAACTAGAGGTGTTGAATAATCCAGAAGATTAGGATTTGAGAGAACACAAAGAATAAATGCACCGGTGCCATTGCAAACGGTTTTGAGCCATGTTATTCAGGGTATCTAACCATCGATTATTATCATCTCGCGGACCGCAACCAGGTAGTCGACAACTACTGACATGGCTCAGTCCAGTTGTCAATGACTTCATAGATTTCTGCCATGTTTTGGTTCGGCCGCCCCTAACTTTCTTCCAACCTAATCCTCCTACACTACAAAGCAGAAAGCTAGGGGCGGCCAAACCAAAATATGGCAGAAATCCATGAAGTCAAAAACGAAGACTCTAGTTAGTTTAAAGGAATATTGATATTTGTTACTTTCGACCAAATCTTATTGATGTTTGTTTAAATACACCCTCCTAATTCTGCCTTGGTACAAATGTATTTAAGACTGTTTTCATAAATGAATAAAAAATATCACATTTCCAGCAGTATAAACTATTAAATGTCATGGATTATGCATCCGTTTATATTCATATGTAAGACATCTGTTCGACTGAGAAATCACTTCTGATCCATATAATTTTAGGATTTTTCTAATACAATTCCAGTTGTCTATTTTTCAGAATAAAGGGTTCTTATTTTTCCCAACTATCCAAATAATTTAGCTAGTTAATAATTCCTCGTTTTGTTTTAACTAAACAACTTTCGGTGTAGGTAGCTGCGTTAGACACGAGGTTGGGCTCACTACTTTGTAGCTGCGTTAGATTCGATGTGGGGCGCACCATTTTAGTGATTCACGATAGGACTCCATATTTACGAACTGTCTAATATGCCGTGAAATAAATCTGCCTTTCCTTTTCCTGTATATCATACTTAGGCTAACCCTGTCTGTGTGACGGAGGTAATTAGAAGCCGAATACGGATTCAGTTGGATGAGTTTATTTCATGCACACATTTAGGCAGACAAATGACAGTGAGGAGCATACAATCAGACCGAAGCGAAGTGAAGTTGGTCCACTCGACTCTTCTACTTCTCCTTGCTTTGCTTTTTAACGCTTTGTATTCTCATGTCTGTGCACACCAACGATTAGCTGAAATAAACTTATCCAACTGAATCTGTATTCGGCTTCTAATTACCGATGTCGTGCAAACGGGCTATGCCTAAGTAGGATTTATGGGAACTGAAGAGGAGATTTATTTCACAGCATATTAAACTCTTCGTAAATATGAAGTCATATCACTGGTCACTTAAGTGGCGAGCCCTACATTGAATCCTATTATTTATTAGTAGAAGCTCGTAGAAAAAGATTACAACCTATTACTTTGTAAAATACAATGAATTTAAAATAACGCCATCAGAATGGTTATCAATAGGCACTTAAAAAAAAAATCCATTTTAATCAAGTGTGTCTATGATTGGAGAACAGTTTCAACTGAAGATTTCACAAAATCACAGTGAATGAATTGCAATTTTCCCCGAAATTTAAACGATTATTGTAATTCCAATGTAGTAGAAATTCAGGAATCTTGGTTAAACAATAATAGATAATCACAATACTGTTAGTTCAACTCTGCCTGGAACCATTCTAGGATTACTGTTAATCACAAGCCTTTATAAAGGATGAGGATTGGCCATGGGGTTACTGACCCAATCCTATAGAAAATCAACTCGTTAAACAAAAAAACGCTAATCAGCAAAAATGTTAATCTATATAGCCTATGCTCTATCCGGGGTAACCAGTTTAAGTTAGTAAGTAAGTGCATAAGTAAGTAAGTAAGTAAGTAAGTGCATAAGTAAGTAAGTAAGTAAGTAAGTAAGTAAGTGAGTAAGTAAGTGAGTAAGTAAGTGAGTAAGTAAGTAAGCAAGTAAGTAAGTAAGTAAGTAAGTAAGTAAGTAAGTGCATAAGTAAGTAAGTAATTAAGTAAGTAAGTAAGTAAGTTAGTAATTGAGTAAGTAAGTAAGTAAGTAAGTAAGTGCATAAGTAAGTAAGTAAGTAAGTAAGTAAGTAAGTAAGTAAGTAAGTAGGTAAGTAAGTAAGTAAGTAAGTAAGTAAGTAAGTGCATAAGTGCATAAGTAAGTAAGTAATTAAGTAAGTAAGTAAGTAAGTTAGTAAGTGAGTAAGTAAGTAAGTAAGTAAGTAAGTAAGTAAGTAAGTAAGTAAGTAAGTGAGTAAGTAAGTAAGTAAGTAAGTAAGTAAGTAAGTAAGTAAGTAATTACAATACAGTCATATCTACCAAAGCTTATATACTATACCGATTCACGACAAATTCAATCCATTCTCCCCGGAAAAAACCAGTAATTCAGTACTTTTAAAAATTTCTTATCTAAAAAAAGGCATCTTACCTTTGAAATGTAGTTAGTGACTCTGTAAACAAACAAAAAAATCAGTACAATAATTATGTATTCCTAACAAACCTAGAATTTATATATACAGTATGATGATGAGATGAGATGAAATTTTTCAACACAAACTTGTTTATTCATAAATCACATGTGATTAACAATAAAAACTTGTGTTTTGTTCAATTACGCATAGGTGTAGAATGGGGATGCGCACTAAACAAATAACCCATTTAATTGACAAACTAATAATAATAATAACAGTAATTAAGATGTTTTGCAATGATGTGTTTTCAATCATTCATCAATCAACATGATGATGGAAACCGACGTTTGTTGTTTTTTCTTTTAGGGCTTATTAGTAAAATTTGAACTGATTACAATGAAATGACTTTTTTTTAATTGTGTCAAATATTTAACCATGCTATTTACTATATGTATGTGTATATATTACTGACTGTGTTGAATTTGAATTAGGACGCATCAGTTTAAAAGGCTCATGATCCGACCCTATTTTAAAGGTATTATTATATATGCAATAAAGCAAATCTTCCCTTCAATTTCGCTATATCATAATTGTGCAACAGTGGTAAGTCAGTCAGTCAGCTGCAACGTATAACTTCGTACGTAAGTTCATCACTTCAGGTTGCCATACCACATTAGTACAGAAACGCAAATGTCAGATCAAATCCTATAGTGATAAAGATAGCAGAAGTATCAATGGTAATAAAGAAGACTAGGGTTTGAAGACATTATTCATGAAGTATAATTCAGTGAGATAAGTTTAGAAAGACTAAGGTCAAGGTGTTGACTAATCCAGAAGATTAGGATTTCAGAGAACACAAAGAGTGGATGCACCTGAGCCATTGAAAATGATATAGAGCCATGTCATTCAAGGTCTCTAACCATCGATAACTTTCGTCTCACGGACCATAACCAGGTAGTCCAAATCTAGTAACATGACTCAGTCCACTTGTCAGTGACTTTATGGATTTCTGCCATGTTTTAGTCTGGTCATCCGTAACTTTCTTCTAACCTACTCCTACACCACAAAACATTCCTCGTCAAGTTAGTCGATGGTCCGGCATTCGTAACACATGTCTCAACCACCTCAGCTGATGGAGATTCAATACTTCTTCTATTGATCTGTCATCCTTACCTAGTACTCGCTTCCTAACAACTGCATTACTTAGTCAGTTGTCCCACGATACACGAGTAATGCTTCTAAGACATCTATGATCGAATGCTAGTAACCTAGCATTCGATCAACGGCGCTAAATAAGAAGCCAAATACGGTATTCAGTTGGATAAGTTTATTTCAAGCAATCGTTCATGCAGGTGGACATCAGAATATGAAGCACACAACCAAAATGAAGTGAATTAAGGAAGGCGAGTGAGCCAACTCAATGCGATGAGGCATGCGTAAGTATTTATAATTAGGCAGTACTAAGCTAGACATATGATAAATGCAGTAAGCATACACACACACTCGAATTAAAATGGCCGATGTTATGAGTGAACAACTGACAAGGTTGAAAGACGTATGAGTAGCTCAAGAACACTGGATTAATTAATCTGTCCATGAGCTAGGAAAAGTAATGTGAGCTCGATATATTAGTAATCACAACAATATATATATATATATATATTGTAAGAATAGAAATGTACTATTATCATCGAATCTGTAAATTAGTATATTTTTTTCCATGGTTTGAATACAAATTTCTGAGATTCCCACCAGAAAGTGTACATTTACGGACACAAAACTCACAGACTAGTGATACATCTTATTTTGATCGACTTCAGGTCAGTGTTAAACAATCAGATAAGTAGTTGTATAGTGCTGAATTGGTGAAAATAATTGATGTCTCACCACAAGGAATACAATGTTACATCTTCTTACATCGCATGTCTTCACTAGCGAACCTTACTTTCAAATAACTCAATTATCTGAGATTCTTGTGTGATGAATACAAGGATTTTGTATGAGACACTCTTTAAACTGATTGACATATTGATCCTAATAGTCAAACATTGTAAACTAATTTACTTTTACCCATTATCAATAATGGTTTATTATTTGAAGTTAAGAGGTAGTAATTGCTCTCCTGTGCCGAGCCCAATAGTCCAGAGGTTAGGCGTTCGTGCATAAGACTATAGATCCTGGGTTCGAAGACTGTGAGATGCAAGAGTCATGGATGCGCACTGCCACTGATGAGTCCTATACCAGGATGAAATGGCCATTCACTACTTCCAGGTTTATAACGGTGATTGATTGATGGCTTCAATGCGTATATCAACGCAGCATAGTTTAGTATCATTAAACTTTTTTTTAACTCTTTTTTTCAACTACTTAAATCATTACATCATTTTCTAGATCAATAATTGTATTTTTAACCAACTGATCTAAACTCATTGCATTCTTACTTATGTTCTCGTTTAATTATATTACACAACCACTTATTTTTCTAACCCTTGAAACTTTTTTTAATTATCGATGTTGTAGAATGTTACTCTGCATAAAGTTATATTTTTAGAATATTTTATTCAGTCTATCCGAATCATTTACACCCTCATTGTACTATACTTATATACATAATCATAGGAACTTTCAGTGAAACCGTTTAATGTGAGTAATTATGATTTTGAATAGTACAAGTTGTAAGTAGCTGATGAGAACCAAACGAAATAAAATGAAGTCACTTTAGCTCTGCTCAAATCTTCATTCTAGCTCTCTTCAAGTTGAGGCAGGGAAGCATGTGTATTATATATGACTTTAATAGTAACAGTCATTTATTATAAGTTATGTTGTTATAAGAATTAAGGTAAACTTCACAATTTCACTCAAAATAACATGAAATAAAATAGTTAGTTGAAGAAAAATGCGCATTACCTGTTTTTATCGGTAGCCTCTAACAACCAAAATGTCTCGTCTTGTTATACAGTTTTTATTTGATAGATCGCTATTTATAGATAAGTTGATATGAAAATATTTTGAAATGATTGGTTTTTATCAGGTCAATCAAAATGGCTTCTCAGTGTGTTAAAATGTAAATCTTACTTTTAAGTGATTGGTTACAAAAAAGTAATTCAGTAGTATATTCATGAATTATTTACATGTAGATTTCATGTAAAATTGTTTAATAAAAATAAGGGATAATAATAAGAGATTTAATGACTATTAAAGAATTAGAAAGTATTAAGTCAATTGGCGTCGCTGCCTCTACACAGGATGAAGATACCATGGCCTCGGGAATTCGAAGACGGAGATGTGAGGAGCTTCTTGAAGGAGTTTGAGGCCGTGGCAGAGCTGGTCGGAGTCAAGGAGCGGAGGGCGAAGGCAGTGACGCTGGGAACTCTACTAAGAGGCAGGGCGAGAGCGGTGTACGACAGTGTGGAGGACGCTGACTGGAAGGTGGTGACGGAAAGGCTGCCGGTGAATTTCGACAGCCCGGCGGATAGGCAGGACGTGCTGCAGAAGTTCCGAGAGTCGAGACTGACGGCGGATGGCGACCCACTCGTGCTGATCGTGGAGTTGAGAAGATTGCTGCGCCGAGGTCTGCCGAATTTGAATGAGGAATCGCAAGCACAGCTGCTAGCGTCGCAATTCATTGAAAGTGTGCCTCCAGAGGTCGGCCAACAGTTGAGACTAGTGAACGCGGCACAACCAATGGACGTCACCGAGCTGGAGAAAGTAATAAGACAACTGACGAACTCAACAGTCGCCTCGGTGGCGTGTGAAAGACAGACTGATGATGTCGTGAAGAAGATAGAAGAATTACAACGAGAGGTGGCAGCGTTACGAATAAACGGTGGAGGAAATAATAAATGCTATATTTGCGGAGGAACCGGACATTGGAAGAGGAATTGCCCAACAAGACGAAAACATTACACTGAACACTATTTGCACACCAGCTTTGAATCGTGACTTCCAACACTCCATCCTTCTTCCATTCCTGCTGTTGCTTCCTTTACTTCCTGTCGGTACTCCATTTACTTCTTGCTTTTGCTCCATTTGCTTTCCGTTTTCCTCTAGTGACCGTGAGAGTTCTTCTTTCACATCCCTTCTTATACTACTTATATCGTTCGTATAAGTAGCACACAGCACAAAATGACTTAATTTCACAATCAACTATATTTTAAAGTCCTACAAAACGTACGAACCACATTGATTAGTGATGACTATAGATTTGTTCATAATTATGATACAGTTACTTACACTTACTTGCTTAATTAGGCCTGTTAATGCTAATAGATGACCTACTCTCTCATTAATGGTCGAATGATATTAAACCGTTATTGGAAACATGAAAACACTGTAGGATCGTTTCGTCTTTGAATGGAACTCATCAGGAGTTCACATCCACAACCCCGCAAGCGGGACCTTAAGCCTCACGAGTGAACACTTAACTTCGTGACCGCTGAACCGCAATCAGCTAGGATGTTATTGTTTAACTTGAATCAATCCACGACATTGCGTGACCTCATCAGTTGTCTTCAGTGGATAACTGCTACACACTAGACACAGTTGAAGTCTACTGGTGATGAGAAACCACGTAGTTTCACATTGATCAATCCATGATTTCAGTGATAAAATTCTTGATACAGTTTTTTTTATTGGATCAGGACAGAGATCACTTACTTCTCTAACTAAGAAAATACAAGTTTAATTCATGTTAGTTACTCCAAAAAGATGAACTTCATTGATATCAACAGTTTTTTATATACTTCAGTAACTATATTCTACAGATTATCTTCAGTGTCAGTGTTTATTTACTATTTTCAAAAAGATTTAAAACGTTGACTATTAAATTTTTCTATATGCTTTTAAAATTTAAGTGTCTTGAAGAGTTAAGGCACAAGAATATTTCCTCATACAATCTATGTGCAGCTATAGCCAATATGTTTCTTTCATCAAAACGACTGATACTGCTGTTCAAAATACTCAGTCTAGAATGGTCTTTCAACCTCTTCGATTCGAAAGTCGAGTTATGAAATCAGTAAACAAATTAAAAACTTATGTTCTTTTTATAATCCGAAAACGAGCAAAGTTTATTTGTTGAAGAATTTGGTTTTTCAAATGTTCAGCGTTACAGATTTCATTTCATTTCAGATTTAAAATAAGAACTCATTTTAAACTGATCTCTAGTAATTCATCATTGCTTCTGACTAACATTGTTTAGGTGAAAATACTTTAAGATGAATGACATAGAAAGGATTTTCTTGAAATCACATGTTGATGTTTATCAAAATGAATGGAATTTAATTTAGTAGAGTTGTTCTATCTTATTTGAAAATAACTAACCTGGATATTGTAACCAAATATGAGATAGTGAAAACCAACTATAATACAACATTATAGATTATGAAATCTTAAAAAAAATGCAACCGAAACTCATCAGTCTGTTAGGGATGTTAGATCCCCAGAACTAGCTTGATAAATAATGCCTTAATTTTGGATTTTACGTTTGCCAGCATGGACTGATCAGTTGGTGACCTTGAGATTTCATTTCCCAGCAGGAAAATCCTTGTCTGTGATTGGCTGTTGTGTATTTTCGTAACTGTCCCAAGGACGTTTCTATGATATATAAATAAACGAGAGTTGTGTGCTTGATTGTATTGTGATTGCTGGGTGTTTGCAGAATATACTTTTTGCGTTTACCAAGACTTCTGTTTTACAGCTTGTGATTCAAGATAGCCTACCTGGACGCTGGTAATTGTCTGGTTCGCGTCTATCTACTAAGGTAAACTCGTAATAGCCTCAAGCAAACTTAATGACGAACATAATACATTCCCTACGTAAGATTGCATTTTATGTCATGACGTAGATTTTATTTTCGGTAAATTCGTTCGTGTTTTATTCAAATGCTATTCATAACCATTTGTGCTTGCTTTCATCACCTCTCGACCGTAGCTACTTCCTTGATGTGGCTGTCAATCTTGCCTATCTTTGTGACCCAACCGAGCTATATTCGCTGGAACATATGTCCCTCCCGTAGGTCCTACCATGCCAGGGAGGGTGATTGAAAAACGGCGAGACCAGGAGCAGCAACTTAGGAATTAAGGGCTAGTCCGTACTAATGACTTTAGAGGGGTGTGATAGCATCACAGCATCTGCAGTGATTCTTCCTTCATACAACGGAATGAAGGGATTAGAAAAGATCGACCCTAAAGATGTCAAACTTCACTTCTCCGTCTCTAGCGGTAATGTCATTTAAAAAGTGAAGCTAACGCGTTAAATAAATTTCCTATAAAAAGGCTGTGCATAATCTGTATCAAGCAGTTGTCTACTGAACTTATCAGTTTCGTTGCCTGCTCTATAGGGCCAACGCTAGTCAAACTTCCTTTTCAACTTCTTCAAGAAATACTTTTCCATGGTGTGAGCAGCCGAAAAGTAATATCCGCTTTCATAATCCTTACATCTCACTAGACCAAATCGGTCATAAACAAATTCTTCCTTCACTTCTTCACTTCATCAACGTTTTATAGCAATACAACAAGATGAATATTGATAGAAGTTACAGTGTAAGTCAAATAACTCTTCAAATCTACTTCATTCATTTCACTAACAAACTTCATATTAGGCCATTATTTCAGATTTCTCATCTATGAATTATTTTCAAATCTTAAATAGTAAACTAGTCGGTAAGATGATGACATTATAAGAATGAATGAATGGTGGCATTTAACTAGGCTAACAGATTTCAATTAATCTAACTCAATTCTATGCTGAAATAATATTCGTAAAACCTTAAACCATGGATTTTGTTGTTAATGTAAGGCAGTTACAATGACTCTGATTGATACAACCATCTTGTTCATTGAGAAACATCAAAGTAAACATGATGGTTAGTTTACAATGTCAATGTACTTTTATAAAAAAAAAAGTGGTACCATTTCTGTTTTGCTTTGTACTAAAAGCTTAATGTTTGTTTTTTTTTTGAGCTAAAAAGTGTGTCAACAATGAATTATATGATATTTCTTAAGGTAGTTTGGATGCTTTGATTTTCATTGAAATACTATGTTTACATGAAGTAAAAAATTGTACTTACAAACACGTCAATTAAAAATCTTGCTTTCTAGAAAGATAAACATGAATTAATGAGCACTAATGTACTTGAACAAAGAGAAAACAAATTCTTGTTGTGTATCTCAAATGTCATTCATTGTTCTAATAGAGATTTGTTTAAAACAAATTTAGAAAGATGAAATTGTTTTGATGATCTGTAATGTCCATCATACAAGAATGACATGCATTAGTATGAGTTAATTGAGCATAAACTTGTAGTGGAATGCTTCTACAAAGAAAATACGATTTGTGAAAAATAAACATTATTGTACATCTTTTGTTTAACTGTACCAAAAACAGATCTACGACTTCTTGCGCGCAACGTTCTCTTTGCGTTGCTGCCATCTTTATCTATTTGCTGCTCCACATGTTAGGCAAATGTTCTCCTTCAATAAAATCTTACACCATAGATTTATTTTCATTTCGATAATGGCGGGATGTTATGGAATATTTAGTGGTGAGCATAGTAAATCGGGTATCAGGATTAGCTCCCCACAAACTAATCTGCTCTACAAACGATTCTAAATTTACACATTTGAAATCCTTAATCAATCATCATTGTTAGATCGCCATTAGAAACCTGGAAGCACTGGACGGCCGTTTCGTCCTAGTATGGGACTCCTCAGCAGTGTGCATCCACGACTCCTGCTCCTCACAGGATTCGAACATGGGATTTAGCGCGACCTCACCCATTTGTCTTTGGTAGTTACTGCCTACACTAGACAGGGTTGAACTCCACTGGTCACGTCTTCTCAACTAGAACTCCGAGAATTTCCTCATGAAGCTAGTCACTAGTGAGCACTGTTACGATATTTTGGGGCACAGTTTTGGAGGTTTGAGTTTTTACACATTTGAAATCACCAATCAATCAATCATTGTTAGACCACCATTAGAAACCTGGAAGCTGTAAGTAAGTAAGTAAGTAAGTAAGTGAGTAAGTAAGTCCGTAAGTAAGTAAGTAAGTAAGTAAGTAAGTAAGTAGGTAAGTAAGTAAGTAAGTAAGTAAGTAAGTAAGTAAGTAAGTAAGTAAGTAAGTAAGTAAGTAAGTAAGTAAGTAAGTAAGTAAGTAAGTAAGTAAGTAAGTAAGTAAGTAAGTAAGTAAGTAAGTAAGTAAGTAAGTAAGTAAGTAAGTAAGTGGTGAAGTAAGTAAGTAAGTAAGTAATTAAGTAAGTAAGTAAGTAAGTAAGTAAGTAAGTAAGTAAGTAAGTAAGTAAGTAAGTAAGTAAGTGGTGAAGTAAGTAAGTAAGTGGTGAAGTAAGTAAGTAAGTAAGTAAGTAAGTGAGTAAGTATCTGAAGATGAGTCCCATACCAGGACGAAACAGCCGTGTTTCAGTGCTTCCAGGTGTTTCGACTGGTGGTCTAACAATGATTGATTGATGATTTAAAATGTGTAAAAAAACACAAATCTCCAAAACTCTGCCATAAATCATTTTATTTCAATCATTCTATGCAACATTGTTTTTCTTTAATTTCTTTTTCATATTAACTTCATTATTTAATATAGAAAAATAAACTAAAGGAATATTGAATAAAAGAAATATAGTTTTTAAAAAATCATATTCTTCCGTGGAATTTCTATCAAATAATGTTGACAACGATAAAGATGAACATAAAATCACAATGAACATTTGCATTGAGCCTAAAACATAATCTTGTATTTGTACTTCAACATCATGACCACCTTGAAGTGTTTGCACAGTGATAATTGTGAACTGTAATGGAAAAAAATTTGTAAACACACACATATAAACACATGAACTAACAGAAGAATTTTGATACGTATCAGTTGTAAATTGTATATTTGTTCGTTTAGATGTACAAAGTTGAGTTGAATTTTTGTCATAGACTAATATCAAGGGTATAGCTATTGATGATTAAGGATGATTGATTTTTCTTCACCTGGTTTCCTGACCGTAGCTGTTACCTTGATGTGGTAGTCGGGCTAGACTATCGTCATGACCCAACCGAGCTATATTAGCTGGAATTTATGTTCCTGAAGGTTCTACCATACCAGGCAGGTCGATTGGAGAACGATGAGACTAAAAGCAGCTACCCAAGGTCTGAGGGCGGAGTCGTACTCCTGAATGAAGAGGGGTGTGACAGTAGTAAGGTGTTTCCCTCGGACAACCAGCATCTGCAGCGATGCTGCCCTCTCACAAGGAACGAAGAGTTAGAAAAGGTCGGCCCTAAAAATGTCACACCTCCCCTAACTCACGGATTTCCGTCTCCTTGGGTAAGGGTGCCCACTAAGGGCCTTTAAGAACGGAGCTAATCCTCAAAAAACATTTGATAAAAAGGCCATGCGTGACTGTCCTCAAGCAGTTGTCCCTTGGGCTCTGCGGTCACGCTCCCAGATCGTTAAGACCCACACTAATCTACCTTCTTTTTCAGGTCCTTCAAGAAACAACCTCCCATGGTGTGGGCAGCCGGTTAGTGACAACAACAACCCTTATACCTGTAACAACACACGAGACTAAATTGGTCATAATCAAATCCTTTCTTCACCTGGTTTGGGCGCTTTATATCACTGCCTTCTTTACAAGTACCTAAATCAAGGATATTTATGTTTTATGATGTTTTTATCGCGCTAAATATTGTCGAAAGTGTACAGTTAAGTGGAATGAAATTTTTTATCAGTTTCGAAAGACAAATTCGAAGTAAATCGTAAGATATTTATTCATTCTTGGTATCACTGGAAATGATAGTTCAATTCAAGGTAATTATGTGAAATCTATTGCAATAAATGACTTTTAAATTCAGTTTTTGTTTTACAATGAAGAGATTCATGTATCACTTAAGTGTTTAACCATTTCTACACTTTTCTTAAGTATTGGCTATTAAAAACATGAAAATGAATATTTCTCTTACAATAAGTTATCAAATGGCAAATAAGAGTCTTTCTGAAGTGTAATCATATATCGAAAATGTTAAGTTTTGATCAGAAATCGACGATTTTCAATCATATGACTTTATTGTATGATGGAAATTTCCTTCCAACACATTTAACAATGATAAGGAAGGCTGATTAATGTGAGTAGATATACTACTTAATAACTCTGAGATGTTAAATAAACAACTAAACTAATTTCCTGATAAATTAAACACTGTACTTTAATAAATATTAAGTAGTATGATAATTTATTCTAAATTATTCAAGCTTAATGAAGTAATCAGAATTCTATCGTTATGAAAACGATATTATTTACTTCATTTTTAAGTTTCAATTATACTTAATTGGTAACTGTTTAACTAATGTTAATAATGTGTGTAAGCTGGAGCTGTGTTCTTTCACAGAGATGTATGACGGCAAGCAGTGATGGAATCCAGGAAGCGTCGTAAGTCCTAGTTGGAACTCATCAGTTGGATATACCTGAATCCTTGAGTTGATGTTTACGAAGAGGCCGAAATGAAACTTGTCAAATTTAGTCCTTAATATCAATAGGACATTCAAAGTACCATTGAAAATGAATTAAACTTCACTGGATTAAACAAGCCATTGGATATCTGGAATCAGTAGTATAGTGAACGAGAACACAGGTGGGGCAACCGAATTGTATTAAACGAAAATTACAGAGTTACTCAGTAAAATTGGAAAACCATATCGTAAATCAGCAATTTGCAACATATCAGTTCATCTTATCAAACTGGACTGTTCCTGTTGCAAAACATCACTCCATTGTCACTATTCATGCGTTCCATACAAATTCCATTGTGTTCTAACTCTTCTTTTCATTATCTTCCCCCATCTTCTGCTGCCAGACATTAGGTTGACACTCACGTCATATACTACTTATAAGTAGCTCATACCACAGTAGTTACGCGAAAAATGCAATGGTATTTGAAGCCAATAGCATTTGGTTCGAGTCTTGGAGTTAACATCAACTCAGGGATTTGGCAGGTATATCCAACTAACGAGTCGTAAATAGGAAGAGACGCGCGTCATGGAATCCATTTCTAGCTACAATCCAATTCCGTTTTTAGTGCTTGTGACCTAATGGCTAAATCGAGTCGATCTGAACAGGATGTACATATGCCAAATGAAACTGATTTATTGCTATCTTAACTATCAAGGGGAGGATTCGAATTAAAAATACAAATGAATGATGTTTTGATCAGCTTGACTTCCACACTGTTTCTGTGATGGGTATACTTATGTTGTTCATTGTAATTCGTTAGAACATGTGATTCTTTGTCACGCAAAAAAGAACTTAAGTAAATTTACAAAATTAACTGTGATTTCATCCGATGAATTAGTATAATCTTCACCAGTGAAACTGAAAATAACTTATTATCTCTAGCATAAATATTGATAAAATTGAGAAAATGTTTTGAATTCGATTCTTTGAAAATTTCTATCTACATCAGGGTTTTCGTTTGCTAAGCACTATTCATGGTATCATCATGCACTTCGTTGATGTAGTAAAATCTGGACAAGGAGCAACTGTCTATGTTTCAAAGATATTCAATGGAATGAATATGTCATAACTTCTAATTTCTAATGTTGACACAATGCTCCACTAATCAAATTCTAATATGAGCATTAGTCAAGCATGTTTTAACATGATAAAAAAGGATTTCTTTTTGAATGTTTCATTGTAGAAGGCAGTCAACGCTTTAATTTAAGAATTCTAGTCAAACGACGAACATTGGTTCTGTTAAGGTTTTAGACATTCTATGTGATATCGAATCCAAGCTAGTACAAAATGTTAAACCAGAGATTCCCATCACTTAGTAAGTTATAAAAATGTAAAAATCCCATTTAATTTTCTGTGTAAGATATTTTACATCATAAAATGAGAAAACACTGAACAGTCCTTTCATCTTAGTATGAATATCAACAGTGAACATCCACTATCTAGCAAAGTCAATATTCATTGGCTTACATTTTTAAAACTCCAGTCATTTGATATTTGTAAGCTAAAAATATTACCACTGAAATCATGAATCAGTCATCGTTAGACCACTATTAAGAACCTGGAAGCACTGGACGGCAGTTTCATCCTGGTATAGAACTCATCATCATTGCACATTCACGACTCCTTGGACTCTCAGGATTCAAACCGAAGACATTCAGTTTTGCGAACGAACGCCTAACCTCCTGGACCTCTGGACACACTACTGATGAATCCCATATCAGTATGAAACAGCCGTCCAGTGCTTTCAAATTTCTAATGGTGGTTTAAAAGTGAATGACTCGTGATCTCAGCAATAAACAATGATCTCCATGACTCTACTACATAAACGAACAAAACTTTTTAAAATCATATATTAAACTATAATGAAACTTACAAATTGAAAGAATATAAAAGCGAACACCATGAGTAGTTTATTTAATATCTGTAATAAGTAAGAAAAAAATACACTAGAATTGATCAAAAACTTTTCACATTATTAAAATGAAAATTTCGGCTTTCAAAGATGAATCGCTTAGTTTTTATTACAACATTTCCAACTGATCTAGAACTTCACGAGTTTTTGTTTAACATGGTGAATTATACATTTTTGAAACCATGAACCGATCAGTGTTAGACCACCATTAGAAACTTGGAAGCACTGGACGGCCGCTTCGTCCTGGTACGGGACTCTTCAGCAGTGCGCATCCACGACTCCTGCATCCCGCAGGATTCGAACCCAAGACCTCTCTTATTGTGCGTGAACGCCCTAACCGTTAAACCACTGAGCCGGTATCAAACAGTGTTAATGTCTAACTTGATTAAATTCACGGAGTTGCGCAACCTCATACACAGTCTTCGGTAGTTACTGTCTACACCCGAACAGGTTGAACTTCACAGTGGTCACGTCTTCCCACTAGAACTCGGAGAAGATTCCTCACGAAGCTAGTCACTAGTGATCACAGGTAATTTGCATTACGAGGTTGTGAAGATTGGTAAGTTACACATTTTTGAAACCATGACACCGGCTCAGTGGTCTGACGGCTGGGGCGTTCGCGCACAATACCTAAGATCCTGGGTTCGAATCCTACGGGATGCAGGAGTCGTGGATACGCACTGCTGAGGAGTCCCATACCAGGACGCGACGGCCGTCCAGTGCTTCCAGGTTTCTAATGGTGGTCTAACATTGGTCGATTCATGGTTTCAAAAATGTGTAACTTACCAATCTTCACAACCCCTGTAATGAAGATGAATTACTGATAACAAATATAGTTGAATAGAACTCAAATCTTTAAAACTAGAACTACATATGATCGAGAATGTTGTGTTTGCGGAAAATAATATCAACTTAAACAATACGCTAAAACCTAATCAAAGTTCAATGTTATTTCTATGATTATGATACTTTGATTCTGTAGTATTAAAGTATCCCAGTTGACATTGAAGTATCAAGCTCCTGAGTTTGATTGCTGGTTGATCTTAGTGATATGGTGTTATGAAATCGGCGAATTGAAGAACAATAATATTTTAGTCATTCAAAACTACTTAAATTGTTATCTGTATGCTTCCTAGTGCCCTATTGAATTCTATATTACGAAAGAATCGATTGAATATCTGACTATATATAACTTTTTTAAGTTATCAATCATGAGTAAATTGTACGTGAAAACTAATACTGGCTAAGGTAGTTGAATCCATGTAACTTAAAATTAGTCAAAGGCATTATCGCCAAGCTTCTTGGATCACGATTAACCTGATGATGTAGAGAGGATTTATTCAGTCATGATGTACACACATAGATAGATGTTTACACTGATTTACTTACAATTTCATATCCAAGTATAGTAAATATTATCATAAAAGCTGGTATAATAATCACTGATAATGTAAATATATAGAAATATTGATAAAAATATATTGTTATATCATAAGAGAATTTTGTTGCAATACTAAATAAAATTGTTGATGTGATTAAAACAATACTGATTGAAATGATATCATCAACTGTTGTAGTTTGATAAGTGATATTAGCCGCAATGGAAGAATGACAAATTGTCTAGAAATAAAAGAAAGAAGACAAATTGAATACTAGTAAGGCTCAAAAACAATGTTTTTCATTTCAAATGCTAAAGCTTTGTCCATGTGGCTACTGAGTCATTAATAAGTGTCATCCTTTTGAAGGGTATAATGTATACTGTTTCCAAACCACTTACTAAGACTGATGGTTGAGATAGTCAGTTGTTCCTTTCTTAATCTCATTCTGTCAACGGTTTATAGTCTTTAGCAGGAAAGTTTCACTAACTACCTTCACACAACAAGGAAGTATTGCAACAGTGGACGTCAGTCAGTCAGTTAGTCAGATGCAACGTAGAACTTTGTACATAAGTACATCAGTTCATGTCGCCATACCACATCAGCACAGAGATGTAATTGTCAATTCAAACCCAATAGTAGAAGAGTTAGTAAAGGTATTAGAAGTAATCGGAGAAGTTACGATTAGAAGATATTATTCAAGAAATATGATTAAATGAGAAAAGTTTAGAAAGTCAAAACTAGAGGTGTTGAAGAATCCAGAAGATTAGGATTTGAGAGAACACAATGAATAAATGCACCGGCTAACTATCAGTAGATTGCTTCTCCTAATGCTGTTTCGTCAACTTATTCGTTTGTCAAGGGTCAAAGAGATGGTTACCTGAGACATTTAAAGTTCACTAATGAATAGCTATTTATTATGAAATAGAAAAAAATGTCTTTGTGGCTTCAGCATAACTTATTAATTTTCAATACATATTTCAGTCAAACGATTAAAATGAACTGAAATAACTGTTATATAAATATTGGAACTGTGATGGTCATTACAGTTGAATGTCGGTCAATATCTCTGATTAAGTGAAATTATAAATATATGAGGTGTATGTAGGCTCACCAGTTTTGTGGCTGTCAGTATTCGATATATACCTAAACTCGTCCTGATGAACGTTGTTAGATAACATTCAACAGAGTATAAATTAAAAAGACGAATATGAAGCTTTGAAGACGTTTATTATCACAGTATACATAGACCGCAAAATCACAGACACACGAGGTGAAAACGATATGCGAGTGCAGAAGAGAAAGCGAGTATGTGAGTGAGTGGGGAAGTGAATGAGTGCGGAAATCTTCGGCACTCGCATATCATTTTCACCTTGTGTGCCTATGGTTTTGCAATATGTGTCTGGTGCGACAACCAGCATCTTCAATGCTTCGTATTAGTTCTCTGATTTATATACCATTGGGATTTATCTATTAGCGGTTATCAGGAAGAGCACAGTATACGAATATATCGAATACTGAAGGCCACATAACTAGTGAGTCAACATCCACCACAGATGTTGTGAGCCCGACGACGAACATAACGCGGATCGACAGCGATGAATCATTTGAAGCTCTTGATTTCATTCATCCAGGAGGTTGTAAGTTCGCACTACTAAGGGGTTATATACTACAATGAAACCATAGTGGTACAGATAGTAGAAGTATTAGCAGTAATGCAGAAGATTAGGATTTGAAGATAATATTCAAGAAGTATAATTCAGTGAGATAAGTTTAGAAAGAGAAAGATAGAGATGATGAGGAATTCAGAAGGTAAGAATCTGAGATAAGACAACAAATGAATGCACATGCTCCATTGAAAACGATTTTGAGCCATGTCATTCAGGGTCTCTAACCATCGATGACTTTCGTCTCATGGACCCCAACGACGTAGCCTACATCTACCAACGTGACTCAGTCCACTTGTCAGTGATTTCAAGGTTTTCTGTCATGTTTTGGTTTGGCCGCCCCTAAATTTTTTACAGCCTAAACCTAAACCACAAAATTTGCTCGTCGAGGCAGTCTGTGGTTGGGCGTTCGTAACACATGTCCCAACCACCTTAAATGATGAAGTTTCATTACTTCATCTACTGACCTACCATCCTTACCTAGAAGTCATTTCCTAACAACTGCATTGCTTACTTGGTTGTCCCAGCAGGATACACGAGCAATGCTTCTAAAACACCTGTGATCGAATACAAGTAACCTACGAATATCTGCTCTCACCGGCCATGTTTTTCATCCATAAAGGAGAACGGTGCAAACTGATGTAGAGAACACTTGACCTTTGGTTAGCAAGCGGATATCTAGCCTACCTCATAAGTGATGCAGTTTGGCAACTTTCTGTATCCATTCCGAGATTTCGTCAGTCACCAGGCCATCAGAGCTGATGAAACTCCTTAGATAAGTGAGGCGGTCTACACGTTCGATACTTCAATCCCAATCACTAATTCAGGTGCCGATCTTATCAGTCAGAGTAACTGTTAATTACATCTAAATCAATCTAAAATTTTCAATAAAATATTATGTTAGAAGAGAGAAAATGCATCATCTCAATTGATAAATAACGCATTTTATGATTACTATGAAATTTTCTATATTAAACAAATTACTACTAACAAGAATATAAATAGTAGAATAATAAACTTACAAAAATACTCAAAATAATTATATTAAGAGGAAAGAATTGTTCAATAGTTGGAATTTTTAAAAGAACCACTGCATTATAACCATTCAGTAAACTAAAATTAATCAATAATATTCAAAAAAATTAATTTTTTCAAAGAATCTAACTTATATAATGAACAAAGTGATATCAATTCAATAATAAGTGAGAGCAAATATGATGAGCGGTCATTGCAACTGGATCCAAACGAAACTTCTCATAAAATTAGACAGATAATAGGTCAGGTGATTTTGGACAATTGAAAATTTTGTCTTACATCTACATGAAAGTTAGGAATCTAGACTAGGATAGACTAAATCTAGCAAGCTATGCGCCTAGCCACAATCCATGTATATATATACATATATATATTCGGGGATACTACCCCTAACTCAGGTCTTATATGGTCAAAAAATGATTACCTGACATGAAACAAAGGATATTAGAGAGCGTTCAAGTCCGTTTGCATCAAGCTGAGCTGCATCGCTTGCTATCCTATGCCATACCATATGCTATACTGCTATATAAAGCTGAAGGTTTCCTATGAGACAAGAGGTTCAATACGAACATTGTGGATGGCTTGTCAGTGCTTTGGCAAGTATTGCTAACAGTCCATATACAAATCAGGTTAGCTTGCTGACCGATTTCATTGATACTAGTGGTTGTTTTGCAACATTTTCCGAGGACCATTGTCATTCGTGTGCTGTATTGCATATCACCATTGCTAATAATAATGAGTTTGACAGTCATGAAAGCAGGATGGGTCGAATTGGCCTGTTCATGCGCCGCATATTGATTGACGCGATCATGAATCGGAAATAATCACTTTATATGTACTAATGTACATAAATGATGTGAGTGATACACCAAGGTGTCAGATACCTGTGTGGTTATACCATGGAATTGAGCCGAACTATTTACGTTGAAATGTTAACGAGTGGGCAGGTTTCTTGGTTCGCCTGAAAACCAATCTAAAATTACCCTTACGCATACTTTAACATTTCACTTTTGCATAGTTGATTGTGTTAAACGTTAGTATTCAAATTTATTGAAACTAAATAGGATTCACTAGTCAAAATATTCGGATATAATATCCGCATATCTGGAGAGTAGAAGCATCATCTATCAACTGGGTGAATTTTATTGATCCGCTTCCAATAAATCAACAGTATTGAACTGGGATAAACTTGGTTTTTTACTGATTAATGTGGATAAATCTTTATACAATTTGATGCTTGAGTAATAATCATTGTCATTTACTTTAGTCTCTAGACTTAATCTAATTATATCGATCAATTTCGAGTGTGATCCTCAGCACATATTGATTAACATCACGATATGCTTCCTTGTTCGCAGTCAGTAAAAGACTTTTGATGTTAGGGTTTAGTACTAGATGGCATTTGATGTCAAAACCTATGTGCAATCTTAAATAAAGCTAGTGTCCACAGTAGTAAGTTATATTAGTAAATAACCACTACCCAAAATCATTATTACGACAAGCATTCAACATTTGATTGCAAACTAATTAGTTTTATTGCACTGAAAAATAGCTCCAAACACAGGAAGAAATGCTTGTTTGTTCATCACTCTAACCCAATGATTTTATTTGCTAATGGTTGTCCATGTGAACAAGTTTAAAATCCCATTAAGACCAATAACTGGATTATGAAGACTTCGACATCTGGAGGGAAGCATTGTATCAACTCGACGGTTAGGACGCAGCTGGACGATCTGGACTTCGCAGATGACCTGGCTCTTCTGTCGCACACGCAACAACAAATGCAAGAGAAGACGACCAGTGTAGCAGCAGCCTCTGAAGCAGTAGGTCTCAACATATATAAAGAAAAAAGCGAAACTCTCCGGTGCCACACAACATGCACCAATCAAATCGCTCTTGATGGAGATGCCTTGGAGGACGTTAACACCTTTACATATCTGGGCAGCATCATTGACGAGAAAAGTGGATCGGACGCAGATGTGAGGGCACGGATTGGCAAAGCAAGGGCTGCATTTCTACAGTTGAAAAATATCTGGAACTCCAAACAACTTTCAAACAAAACCAAAATCAGCATTTTCAATACAAATGTGAAGACAGTTCTACTGTATGGAGCAGAAACTTCGAGAACTACGAAAGCCATCATCCAGAAGATACAAGTGTTTATTAACAATTGTCTTCGCAGAATACTTCAGATCCGTTGGCCAGACACCATCAGCAACAACTTACTGTGGAAGAGAACAAACCAGATTGGAGTGGAGGAGGAAATCAGGAAGAAGCGATGGAAGTGGATAGGACACACACGTTGCGGAAAGCACCTAACTGCGTCACGAGACAAGCCCTCACATGGAACCCTCAAGGTAAAAGGAAAAGAGGAAGGCTAAGAAACACACTTCGCCGAGAAATAGAGAAAGATATGAGAGGAAAGAACAAACATTGGACAGAAGTTGAGAGAGAAGTCCAGGACAGAGTTGGTTGGAGAAAACTGGTAGGCGGCGTTTGCTCCATTGGGAGTAACAGGCGTAAGTAAGTAAGTAAGTATTGAAACAATCAACATACACTATATTGAAAATTTAACAATCATCTCGGTTAGATTCTGTCATAATCAAGCTTACTACACACAAAGATTTGAAATGAATATCATAGCTAAGACAATCTAACAATAAATGAAACCTTACACATTTGAAATCATCAATCAATCATTGTTAGATGATGATTTCAAATGTGTGAAAACACAAACCTTCAAAACTCCGCCCCAAAATGTAACCTTGTTTTTTGATCAATTAAAACAAAGTTCAATAATCAAATTAATTCATCATTCTTACCATAATAAATACATTGACCAGATATGTTCTCCAATCCATTGATTTATTAATGGTCTTGAAAATAAAATAATCGAATTTCATAAATTCATTGTTTATTCGATTTGAAATAAAAAACTTACATATAATCAAAAGCGTAGAATACGCTATTCAAAATGAACAATTGATAAAGTAACACAATGAGAACCTGAAACAAAAAAATAACGAAAAGATAAAAGCGTTAAAACACAAAATGATGATAACATTAGTCATTGTGATGATTTGTTTAAATTTATTATATATTTAATTACCTTGATATAAAATTGTTTTCGATCTCTTCCGCTGTGACACATACCAACATCATGATCATCATCATTATCAAGATTATTATCAGTACTGAAAAAGAAATCCAGTAATATACAAAAAAATATTTTGTATTTACTGTTTGTCTAGTTGTTTTTGTTCTGTCTGATAGTCGGTATTCAGTAGCATTTTGGTCAGTGGAGATATTCTAACAGAAAGAAAGAGACAGTTAGAAAAATGGATATATGACAGACTTCATTAAAAAAGGAAATTAACTGGAAAGGTAAGATAATATTTTATTTTGTGCGTTAATTGAATTCTTAATCACTTTAAATAGACTTAAACTCACGTATATATTAGATAATCGTTATAAAAAAAGTATAACTCACTATCATGGTTTGTTAAGATATGCATCCAATATCCTAAGAGAATTATTGGTCAATTCCTATTGGTTAATTCCTACTGGTCAATTTTATGGTCGTCCTAGTAGATATCAATGTCACGTGATTCAATGTTTTTTATTATTGGTTGTCCTGACTATCACTGTCACTTCAAATGTTACTTCCTATTGGTCATCTTAACTGTCAATGTCACAGAATTCGATGCTGTTTCCTATTCGACCAAAATGTATAAATACGCATTATCTGTAACATTTTATGACCACGACCAGGATCAGGGCTCGGTCCCGGATCCCTAGTCCGGGATCCTGATTCTCTTCTGGATTCGGACCTCGTACTTTCTGGATGCTTGCAGAATACATGTTCCGCTTCATATCAAGTCTTGTCTTCTGTTGTTAAATATGGGGGTTGGGATAATCGGATTCGAGTGGCATGTCGTGTCACCGGATCCTCGATCCTCTCTCTCGTTTTCCGACTAGGTAAACTCGTAATAGTTCAAGTATATCAAGTTGACATGTTTACGTGCAAGGCATAACATAGTTATATTTCCCTTTCCCCTCATTACGTATAACCTTCTAGTCATAAGTTTCATTTAAATATAAGTGTTACTCGAAGGTCCTGGGTTCGAATCCTACGAGGTACATGAATCGTGGATAGACACTGCTGATGAGTCCTATACCAGGACGAAAAGGCCGTGTTCCAGTGCTTCCAGGTTTCTAATGACGGTCTAACATTGATCGATTCATGATTTCGATAAGTTACGGGATGTGTCATTAGTTAGTTTCAACGTAATACATTATTGGCTAATATCACTGATAACTTACAGATGTTTGCTTTATACTGGACATTGAAATGTTATAATCGTAGATTTATAATCGTAAAAGTTGAAATACGTATGTATATATATATATATATATATATATATATATATATATATACAATCGATCTATACATCATAAACAGGACATTTAAAACCACATCCAATTAAGTTTGGGTTACGACTCCGAACATCAACTTCAGAACTAGATAGTGTTCTTTTCCAGAATACCTTGTTTAATAAAAGAACTGACTAAAATATTGATTTTTTTTTTGTTTAACTGATAAGGTGGCAATTGACAGTTAAGATATTTACACATGTAATTCAAGAATTATTAATTGATATCATGTGATTTAGTAGAGAGTACTATCTAGATGGATTAAAAAAACTAGAGTAAGTCATCGACATGTCTGATGACTAAAGTTTGACCAGATAGTTCAGTTTTAATTTTGATATATATTGGAGAATTACTTATTCCGTCTGAATTCTACAGTAAAGGACGCTTGTAAATGAATTTTATTTTTAAGCCAAACATCTTTGGTAAGAGTGTATACTGTCGTATAACTTGTCTCATTTGTAAAATTGTCTCAGACAAGAACAATTGACGCAGTAAAATAACATGAATTTGTTAAATTCGAAATGGGGCTCATTAATTCAGTGAATAGAGACTTGACTCCAGTGTGGACGAATAATCGAGTATGTGATGAAATTAATCTCTCTCGAAACCATATTCTGCTTCTTATTACCACCGTGGCACAAACGGGGTTCGCCTAAGTATATGATTTACGGAAATGGAAAGGAAGAGATTTATTTGATCGCATACTCGATGATTCGTCCGCACTGGAGTCACATCACTCACTGGTCACGAAACTGATGAGCCCTACTTCGAATTTTAACATGAGGCAATAAAAAGTCATCATAATTTGTGGTTTCTCATTATCTGCTTACAACCTAAACATAACTGTATCAATCATTCAGAAATCAGCTTATATACTTTATATCACAATATTAGAAACGCTCTCATCAATGCGAACAATGTGAGAAAATATTATAAACGAGAATTACATGCTAACGGATGTGAAAATTTGTAAGTTGAATGTAAGAATATTCTAAAATAAAAACCCAAGTGAATAGAAACAAACTTAATTAAAAATAAGATAGTTGTATAATCTTTAATACAGATAAGAAGTGAGGATCAATGATAAGTGTCATGGAAAGAAGAACTGTGCAACAAAAACTTATCAATGAGGTCACTATGGTGGAACACGAATTTTAACTGAGTCTGTTTGAATGCAGATATTCGATATAAATCTTTTCATATCAATCACTTCAGAAAAAATGTAATAAATACGACGTTCTTAGTTTAAAATATTTGAAAAACAATTCCATATTGTAAATATAAAGATATATGAGTGAACAATATTGTTTCAGTTCAATCTCCATCCGGTTTTACTTTGATATACAATAAAATTTATATGCACAACCTATTATAGGAGAAAACAAACCAGATTTTAGTGGTAGAGCAAAATCAGCAACAATCGCTGGAAGTGGATAGGACAAATATATTGTTGAAAGCACTCAACTGCATTACAAGACAAGCTCTTGTTTGGAATCCCCGAAGCCAAATCAAGAGAAGAAGACCAATGAACACATTACTCTGAGTACTGGAGACAGATATTAGAAGAATACAGAACATTTGAAAAGTACTGGAAAGCAAAACCCAGGAGAGAAGGTTGAAGAGTACAAGTTGGCAGTGTGTAAGTAAGTAAGTAAGTAGGTGAGTAAGTAAGTTAGTAAGTAAGTGAGTAAGTAAGTAAGTAAGTAAGTAAGTAAGTAAGTAAGTAAGTAAGTAGGTGAGTAAGTAAGTTAGTAAGTAAGTGAGTGAGTTAGTGAGTCAGTATTAGGTAAGTAAGTGCATAATTAAGTAAGTATGTAAGTAAGTAAGTAAGTAAGTAAGTAAGTGCATAAGTAGGTAAGCAAGTACGTAAATAAGTAAGCAGGTAAGTTAGTTAGTTAGTAAGTAAGTGATTAAGTAAGTAAGTAGGTAAGTGAGTAATTAAGTTGATAAGTAAGTGCATAAATAAGTAAGTGAATGCATAAGTGAGTAAGCAAGTAAGTAAGTAGGTGGCCAAGTTAGTAAGTAAGGAAGTGAGTAGGGAAGTAAGTAAGTTAGGTAAGTAATGAAGTGAGTAGGGAAGTAAGTAAGAAAGTTAGTTCGTAAGTGCATAAGTAAGTAAGTAACAAAGTCAGTAAGTAAGTAAGTAAGCAAGTGAGTAAGTAAGTCAGGAAGCAAGTTATTATGTAATTTAGTAAGTAACTTAGTAAGTTATTAAGTGCATAAGTAAGTGAGTGAGTTAGTAAGTAAGTAAGTGAGTAAGTAAGTAAGTAAGTGAGTGAGTTAGTGGGTCAGTATTAAGTAAGTAAGTGCTTAATTAAGTAAGTATGTAAGTAAGTAAGTGAGTGAGTAAGTAAGAAATTAAGTGAGTGAGTAAGTAAGTGAGTGAGTAAGTAAGTAAGTGAGTCAGTAGGTAAGTAAGTGAGTGAGTTAGTGAGTCAGTATTAAGTAAGTAAGTGCGTAAATAAGTAATTCTGTAAGTAGGTAAGTAAGTAAGTGCATAAAAAATTAAGTAAGTAAGTGAGTGAGTAAGTAAGTAAGTACGTAAGCTGGTAAGTAAGTGAGTGAGTTAGTAAGTGAGTGAGTAAGTAAATAAGTAAGTAAATAAGTAAGTGAGTAAGTAAGTAAGTAATTGATTCAGTAAGTAAGTAAGTGTGTAAGTAAGTCAGTAAGCAAGTGAGTATATAATTTAGTAAGTAACTAAGTAAGTAAGTAATTAGGTGCATAAGTAAGTAAGTAAACAAGTGAGTAAGTTAGTTAGTGAGTAAGTGAGTAAGCAGGTAAATAATTAAGTAAGTAAGTGCATAATTAGGTAATTATATAAGTATGTAAGTATGTAAGTACGTAAGTGAGTAAGTATGTAAGTAAGTTAGTAAGTAAGTAAGTCCGGATTTATGTATGTAAGCATTGTGGTTGTGTTCTTCAGCTCAGAGAACTAAAAGCCACCACAATCATCCACCTGAGGTATAAATTTTCTCCACCATCTCAGTATTCAAGCATATATGTAAGTAATATTTATAAGCATATGTGGAATTATTAAACTAATCAAGGTAGTTTATTTTTGTCAGTGAAAACAGTAGAATAGATTACATAATAATATGAAAAAAAATTACAAGTTTCTTAGTATGATGATAGGTGTACTAATTGCGATATGAATAATAAATAATTGTTTATCAATTATGGTAAAGGGTGTAGACACCATGTTCACTGTCAAGAAGATAGCATGAAGTTGCACTACCGTAAAAGGTGTTGAATACTTTGGTTTTAGTTTCATTGAAATGTGTTCAAACATCCAGCCTGCAACTCTCTTTTCCTATTCTTCCGATGTATACACTTTGGTCATTTACTAATGTTTTTTTTGATGCGGATTTGTCCAATTAATTTTAATATATAAAGTATGTAAGCTGACTTCTTAATGCCGAATAATATTATTATGAGGATATAAGCAGTTGATAAGAAATCATGAAATATAATGAATTCATGTTAGTTAACTGTTTTGACTTTAATCAAACTAGTCCATGACTTAGCTTTTAAAATTAACTTGTTTCTTCAAATCAATCATGTAATTGTTACATATCTGTTGGGGACGTTAGAACCCGAGAACTCACTTGATTAAGGTCTTGAATTTGGATTTTGTGGTTTCGCGCATGTTCTGATCAGTTGACTCTGAGATTACATTTCCCAACCCGAAAATCCTTGACTGTTATAGGTTGATGTATTGTTTTAGTGTGCTATTTTTATGGCTCTCCCAAGGACTTTTCTACCAAGTATAAATAAACTCAATTTTTGTACTTGAGAACCTCATATTTTTTGGGTGCTTGTAGAATACACTTTCTGCGTCTTGTCAAAACTTCTTCGT